CAGCATCTTGGCGAGCGGCCCGATGGTGACGGCCGACACCAGCGTAGCGGCCACGGGTGTGAAGCGAGGAGGATTCAGCTCGGGTCCCAGGAACGGGATCCGCTCCCCGCTGCCCTCCACGGTTTGCGCATCGCTAGCGGGACTGCACGTTGAGCCCAGCTTTTCCAGGAGGTCTGTACCTGCAATACATTCGTGGCACAACACACTCGAGACGTAGAATTCCTGTGTGCACACCTGGTGTCCGAGACGGACCTCGAGGAAGATCCTTCCCAGCAACCCCATCCTGGCTCTGGTCGCTGTGTGCAGCGCGCCATCCGGGGCCTGCAGGCGGCTCACGTCAACCCCGATCACGCTTTAGTGCGTGGCGCTCACGAGTGAGGCCACCACCCCCGTGTTCAGCAGAATCCGGGTGCGCCGCCCGTTCACCTGTCCTTCTTCCAGCGACATGGCCCCCGTGATTTCCGCCACCATCTCCCGCAGCCAGTCGCCCGTACTCACCGCGTCCTTGGGTGTTGTGGTCGGAATCTGCATGGGGGTCACTCGCTCACCATTATTATTATCGTCGTTTTGTTTCGGGACCTCGTTGATTGCACCCCTAGGTGGTCCACTCTCTAGGGGGCGTTGGCGTTTAACCCTGGCGCATTTCTAGCGCGGGCGATCTGAGGACAGTCCCTCATGAGGTGCCCTCGACGGTCGCACAGGTAACACGCTCCGGGAAGGGCGGTGGCCCCGTAGGAGCTTCCCCGCCAATTCCCTCTTTCCCCTCCCATACGCCGCTGCCCAGACTCTGCCTCTAGTCGGGCCACCCTCCCAGCTAGCCCCCCTACCATGGAGAGCATTTCCCCCATTTCCGACTGAATGGTCTCCACGGTGGACTGTAGTTTCGTGATATGGCCACCAACTTGGGTCACCTGGCCGACTATATCTCCCATGCCGGTCTGTAGCCCTGCTACCCATCCCGGGGTTGTCTTGCGGGCTACCGGGGGCTCCCTTTCCAGACCCCTTACCGTCCTGGCGAGCTCCTGTTCCTCCTGTTCCTCCTCTAGGTACTGGCTTGCGATGGTGCGCTCTCGTCCCAGCCCCCGGAGCTGCGAGCGTTCGCTGGAAATTCTTTCACATTTACGCGCGCGCTCGACAAGGGCGTTAAAGGGGAGACGTGTACAGCTCATGTCTGGCTGCCAGCACGACGTACGAGTCAAGTATCGCTGGATCTTCTCGGCTGCAAGCTCCTCAATCACCTCTGTCGTGTATCCCGGGCGTGCGATCTTTGTTAGCTCGCGCACATCCTCGGCATAATCACGCAGGCCCTCGCCGGGTTGGTGACGGTGTGCCTCTAAGGCTGATTTTGCCTCTTCCTCATTACGTGTACCGAAACGCAGATCAAGTCGACGCATCAGCTCCTCCAGCTGTGTCTGCGTGCTTGCTGGTAGGGCTTCCACAAAATCGGCTGCCCGCCCATCCAGATTCATAATAAGTTGGCGTAATGCCTGCGCCTCCGTCCACCCATTAATCTCTTTAGCCCCTATGACGTTGCGGGCAAACGCTTTCCACGAAGGGGTACCCCGGCCGGTGAATATATGCCTTTTTTTGCATGGGGTAACGCGGGGGTTCGTACCGCTTCTGACGCCAAACTGCGGGGGCTGCTGCCCCTTGCTTGCACTGAATTATCGGGGCCGCCGCCCCTCGACTCCCCCGTTATGGTCTCGCTACTGAGGGTGCTGCTGCCCCCCGCCTCGACCATCCTAACCCCGCCATCCCCCGTCTCCTCTGTCGCAGTTAAACCACTACCCCCCGGCTGCTCTGTCGGGTCCGGGCTACCCACCCCCAATTCCTCGCCCCCCTGTGCCCCTGACTGTGTTGTCGACCGCGTAAGCATGGCTCGATTAGTGGGGCCGTCTGCTCTACGCTTCCGACGCGCTACGCTGTTCGGTGGCGGACGTACTGCTGTGGGCACGCCCGTAAAGCAAAACCCCGTCCCGCACGTGAACAAACGGGTACGGCATGCCGATGTGTGATTCCCTCACACACACGCTCTACGCGCCCAGGCAATAACACACCCGACGCCGCTACCTGCCAGCCCGTACACCAATCACACGCGAGGGAGTTGGGGTCGGGGGTGAGGGGGTAGGGGTGTGTGCCGTGCACGCGCCGCTGATTGGAGGGAGTCGCTCCGCTCCGATTTAAAGGGCCATTTAAACAGCCGCGCGTGTACGCGCACACCAGATGCTTAGTTCTCTGTTTTGTTAAAAACAACCATGCATGCACGCGACTGCAAGACAGTTGCACAGGTACGCGAGCGCTAAGCACTACCGTAAACAGTCGCGTAGGCACGCGCACGCTGAACACTCCGCCTCGTTGTAAACAACCGCGCATGCGCGCGAACACAAAGCACGCTCCACCCTCCTCTTCACACTCCAAAAGGCCACACAACACAGTTTATCCCCCTACTAGTTATTTTATTTACCGCGAGTAACCCGTTAAACTACGCGTGATTGTGTGAGTCAGCAGGCCCTCCTAGCCTATCCTTCGGGAATCCAAGGCTCAATTTATCCTGCCTATCGCTCCGCTCTCTCTACCATCGATTAAATCGCTCCAACTCACCTCTCTCTTACTTACGCTTACTTCCACTCTGCTGCGCTGAAAGTTGTAGAAGGGCGATGCTGTAGGTCGTCTCCATAGAAGACCGTGCCTGGCTGCGCTGAAACTCGTCACACGGACAATCCGAACGGCCGGCTCCGATGCTCCGTGGACTTCGATGACTGCAAGGATTCTGACTCGCTACCCTAAGCCTCCGCATTTTATCCACCCTATAACAAAGACGTTCCGCTGTTCCCACACCCCGTGCCGCCCTGTCCATTCAGATGTCGGAATGCTCCTGTCCCTTTGTTATCTAGATCCCTAATCCTACCTATAACAAAGGCGTTCCGCTTTTCCCACATCCCGTGCCGCCCTGTCCATTCAGATGTCGGAATGCTCCTGTCCCTTTGTTATCTCGATCCCTAATCCTACCTATAACAAAGGCGTTCCGCTGTTCCCACACCCCGTGCTGCCCTGTCCATTCAGATGTCGGAATGCTCCTGTCCCGTTGTTATTTGGATCCGTAATCTCACCTATAACAACAGGCATTCAGTTCCTAATCCCATCTATAACAACAGGCATTCAGTTCCGTATGCCCCTTGGCCTTCTGCCCAATAGGAGGCCCGGATTTTCCCGCTTTCTCCGGTACTTTGATCATGCTCTGGTGACATCACTGTGGTGGTTTCTCGGACGTCTGCTCTCCGTTCTTCCCGCTATCAGCCCACTGACTTGTGTTTGTGTGTGTGCGGTTTCACTCGCAGTGGCTCCACGGCCTCCGCCGTGACCACGTAATTTTAATATCAGGTCCCGGCACCGCGGTGCACGTTAGCCATGGGGGGAGATCGCCCAATTTTCTGGCCGCAGGAAACCATGAAGCTTGATCCCATTAGGGGCTTCTGGATAAAAACCCGTCGGCCAGGTGACCTTCCCTCCCGGCTCTATGCGGGGTGTGTGTGCATTTGTGCGGGGGGGGGGGGGGGCACGTCGGTGTCGTCACTCCCCGGTGTCGGCGTCACGGCGGTGGACACGGCCTCGGCAGAGCGGGTCTGCTGCGGCGGCCCCACAACTCTGCAGTGGGTAAAACGCGGACGTCTGAGAAGGCACCGGCCTCGGGAGAGTGGCAGGAAATCCGAGGCATCGGTGGTGGCGTCGCGGCGGTGGGAACGGCTCCGATGGAGCGGCTGCGCTAAGGCGGCACCACACCTGTCCACGGCTACAATAAGTGACAATTGAAATCCGAACCTGTCTTTGGGCAATCCCCCCTTCACCAAACCGCACTCGCCAAGCGTGGTGAAGTGTAGGAGCATTCAACCCAGCGGTGAAGTGTGGGGGCTTTCAATCCCATGGTGAAGTGTGGGGGCTTTCAACCCAGCGGTGAAGTGTGGGGGCTTTCAACCCCGTGGTGAAGTGTGGGGGCTTTCAATCACGTGGTGAAGTGTGGGGGCTTTCAACCCCGTGGTGAAGTGTGGGGGCTTTCAACCTCGTGGTGAAGTGTGGGGGCTTTCAACCTCGTGGTGAAGTGTGGGGGCTTTCAACCCCGTGGTGAAGTGTGGGGGCTTTCAACCCCGTGGTGAAGTGTGGGGGCTTTCAACCTCGTGGTGAAGTGTGGGGGCTTTCAACCTCGTGGTGAAGTGTGGGGGCTTTCAATCACGTGGTGAAGTGTGGGGGCTTTCAATCACGTGGTGAAGTGTGGGGGCTTTCAACCTCGTGGTGAAGTGTGGGGGCTTTCAACCCCGTGGTGAAGTGTGGGGGCTTTCAATCACGTGGTGAAGTGTGGGGGCTTTCAACCTCGTGGTGAAGTGTGGGGGCTTTCAATCACGTGGTGAAGTGTGGGGGCTTTCAACCCCGTGGTGAAGTGTGGGGGCTTTCAATCACGTGGTGAAGTGTGGGGGCTTTCAATCACGTGGTGAAGTGTGGGGGCTTTCAATCACTTGGTGAAGTGTGGGGGCTTTCAACCCCGTGGTGAAGTGTGGGGGCTTTCAACCCCGTGGTGAAGTGTGGGGGCTTTCAATCACGTGGTGAAGTGTGGGGGCTTTCAACCCCGTGGTGAAGTGTGGGGGCTTTCAATCACGTGGTGAAGTGTGGGGGCTTTCAACCTCGTGGTGAAGTGTGGGGGCTTTCAATCACGTGGTGAAGTGTGGGGGCTTTCAATCACGTGGTGAAGTGTGGGGGCTTTCAACCCCGTGGTGAAGTGTGGGGGCTTTCAACCCCGTGGTGAAGTGTGGGGGCTTTCAATCACGTGGTGAAGTGTGGGGGCTTTCAATCCCGTGGTGAAGTGTGGGGGCTTTCAACCCCGTGGTGAAGTGTGGGGGCTTTCAATCCCGTGGTGAAGTGTGGGGGCTTTCAACCCCGTGGTGAAGTGTGGGGGCTTTCAACCCCGTGGTGGAGTGTGGGGGCTTTCAATCACGTGGTGAAGTGTGGGGGCTTTCAACCCCGTGGTGAAGTGTGGGGGCTTTCAATCCCGTGGTGAAGTGTGGGGGCTTTCAATCCCGCGGTGAAGTGTGGGGGCTTTCAACCCCGTGGTAAAGTGTGGGGGTTCTCAATCCTGCAGTGAGTTGACAAAGAGCTAAAATGAACACGAGAAAGGTGTTTCAGTTGAATAGCCCGGCTGCGTCAACACCACGGTGCATGAGGCGTGTCTCCGTGTAGCCTCAGCGCACACCCAGACAGATTCATTTGCTGGGGTGTGTGGAGGTGGCTTGGCAGGGTTCAGCGCTCCTTCACAGAACCTCCTCGTTCAGCATCTGCTGGTAAGCAGCCTTGACATCGTCAGTGCTCATGTGGGGCAAGTTGTGAATATACTGCGGTAAAATATTGCTACTTCTATCAAGTAACGCACTAAAGCAGGTTAAAAAAGATATATTAAAGGACGTTCTCAACATTTCCATCAGCATGGCCTTTTCATTTATGAAAAGCAGTGCGAGGAAAAACTCCTCTTATTAAAATGATCATCTCTTGATACGAGTCCCGTCACCTGTGCATGGTATTCACAATTGTGTTGAGTTAATTGCAATGTCTTATGTACATTATCCACGTCATGTTCTTGTTGTGCAATTGCTTTTAACTCCTTTTATCTGCTTGTGTAAACCAGGTCTCCATTGAAAAGAGAGACGGGCAGTCTGGTCGGAAAGGAAACGACCACTTCCACCCAGTCGCATTTCTTGTGTTCCCCTGGGCTATAAAATGAAACAAACAATCGATGTTTTTTTTGTTAAACCAGGCGTGCTCTTAATTTTCTACCTAGGCTCTCACGACCAATATTGTGATGCATAATTCGTTTCTGTTGGGTTAGATCGTGTCAGTGTAATGCCGAAGTTTATCATCGATAGCCCTCCACCACCCACAATAATCAATACAATCTAGTTATCGCGTGGGCAAATATGCAGATTTATTTTGCATTTCAGCAAACTGGAGGAATGTTGTAAGTCGAGCAGTTTTCAAGTCAACATTTTGCTGTTTTACGTGTGGCGGTCGCCAATCCAAGCGATATCCAGGCTCAACCCGCTTCGCTTGTGAGATCTGGTGAGATCGGCCGTGTCGCGGGTAAGCTGGCCCATAGATACTGCGCCTGGCAGTGTAATTGGACGTCCCCCCCGCCCCCGTGAGTGCAGGTAGCGTTGGTCACTGTGCGAAGTCATCAGCCTGCGATAGGGACGAACAATGGGCACGCAGTGGGCGCAGATCGCCCTGCTCCTCCAGCTGAGCAGCGTGGCGCTTGCAGGTACCAATCTCTGTATGATTATGTTGAACTTCTTTCGCAAATTACGTAGCTAACGGTGCTAATCGGAGGTATGCGGGAAGGAAAACAAACTAAACACAAAGAAATAACTTATAAAGAAATTAGTTTTCAATCTAGATTTAAAAGTGCATAGCTCCAGTCTTTTCCTAATATCGGAAGAACATTCCAGACGGCCGCAGAAGCGCATATGAAAGCATGCAATACAGTGACCGTCTGTCTTCTGTTTTTGTGTGGCACACTGTGAAACGACGGACTTCACAGGTCACACATACATCGACTCTCTTTGTTTTATCGTGAAAAATCATGAAGTTGCTATCACATAACCACATTGATTCTGTGATATTTGCTATCAATTTTTGTGTGTAAAAGTTCCATCAACGAGAACCATCCAGTTCTCTGGGTACGAAGGCAACGTGTCTTCCCGAGACCATGTCCCAAACGACACAGATGTGGATTTCACCTTCCTCATTGTGGCCGTCTCCCGAAAGGTCATCAAAATCAAGTTTGAATGGCTCAGGTAAAAGCCCCCTTTGTGTGCACGCGCATTGTTGGAGTGCACAGATGGGCATGGACATCAAGTGCACATGTGCGCGTCTGGCCGTGTATAGAATGGATGTCCCATTGTCTCTGAGAAAACAATATCTTCCTCAATCGTAATCGCATGCAGTTTCACACAATCCGCTAACCCCACAGAAGCTAAAAATAAATGTGAAGTGCGTTTTAACATTTACTTTTGTACACGAGTGGATTTAACCACAGACGTCTTATATTACGTATAGAATGTTTTATTATTATTTTAACACCACTGTATTCCTTCGTGTATTTTTCAGACAGTCTCGCCATAAGGGGCTCGTATTTTAAGATTACACATTTGTTTAGGACCTATAGCTTCAGGCACGGCTGGGATGTTGGCTGCCTTATCAACAAGAACACACACAAAGTCAATTATGATCTGAATGGCGGTGGGAGTTGGGGGGGTGCTGAAGGTAAGCCGAAGCAAACGGTGGTGACTGCGGCCTTGTGCTTGTGTGGCGGACCGCAGCCTGCGGGAAGACGCGGTGTGCGCCAACGAGAGCCTCTCCGTTCTGGACGGAGCAGCGAGGGCCAACGCGCTGGCCGTGCTCTGTGGGACCTCCATGCCCTCCGTCTCTTTCAAGTCCACGCAGAGCAACCTGACGCTGGTGCTGAGGTCCACGGGGCCCCTTGTGGGTACGTTCGCCGCAGCTTTCTACTCCAACATAGTTTTTCTTTTCCCACTGGACAACCGAGTCGCGTCAGGGCCCGTACCGAGCCAACCTGGCACAGCTCACGAGGCGCCCGGTTGTTCTTCCTCTTGAGAAGCGGAGCCATGCTGCCGACGTGATGTGTCGATGACGCGGCGTCGTCCTCACAGTCCGCGCTCATCGATGTCGCACACACGCTTGAGTTGAGATTAATTGATACGAGTTTGAAAACGCATCATAAGCAATGATGCCATTTTAGGACGAGTCCATTTTAGTAGATACCCTGTGTATACGTATCGTTGCAATGCTGTATGATGTAACTTACAGTTTACTGTTTTTTTAAAAAATAAAATCCAGAAAGGGGCTTCAGGCTCAAGTACAGCTCTGTCACAGCCACGCCATCATCTGCAGGTGAGTGCAAGTTTTGATTTATTTACAAAATAGCCCTCACGTCCTGTGGACGTAATCGTCTGTCCATTTTTGCCCATCCCTTCCTCTCACCAAGCAGCCCGCCCGCCCGCACAACTCGTCATCATAAAAAAAAAACTTTTCAGAATTAAAAATACCATTTCACCCAACGCCTGTATTTCTATAAAGAAGCTGAGATCAAATTGGTAACTAAATGTCCAAGACAATAATTCGATAATACCAATAAAAGTGTAATAATAATAATCACAGTCTCATCGTTGCCCTGTTTTAGCGCTATGCTATTGTGGGGGCTGATGCCCCCCCCCCCACTCCCCACTGTGGGGGCCGATCCCCCCCTCCCTCACCACGAGCGGGGGGGGGGGCGCCACGTCTACTTGGTGGGGGCTAATGCCCCCTCTTCACTCCCCATTAGGTGGGGGCCGACCTCCCCCTCACCCACCACGGGCGGGAGGGGCGCCACTTCTAATTGGTGGGGGCTGATGCCCTCCCCCCCACCCGCCATTGGGGGGGGTCAATCACCTCCTCCCCCTCCTTGCGCGGGGGGGGGGGGTGCGGCGTTTGCCTCCTCCCCCCCGTCCCCTCTGCGTTTGTGTCGCTCGTGCCGCCCCGCCCCATCGATCGGATGACCCCCCCCCGCACCAGCGTCCTCTCTGACTGACATAGCTATCGGCTGGCCGACACCGCCTAGGGGTTGATTACGCGCGTGCCCTTCCCCCCACTCGCGCGTCCTAACCGCGTGGATTACATAATTGTTTAACTCGCCGCTGTGTGGGGTTTAATTAATAATTTGCACTAAGCCATTGTGTCAACAAGGCGAACGCTCCTGCGCGGTCCGGATATTAATACATTAATCGGCGCTCGCGCGGCCTCCCCACCCACGCGTTTTCTCCGCACGACACTCGCGCGTGTCTCACCGTGAACACTGCGGTGCGCGGATAGACACGCGCCGGCGCGGGCAACCGTTGATACTTTAATATGCGCGCGCGTCACACCCACACTGATTTATAGTCACCCACACACCATCGTACGCCGATCGCTGTCCCACCGCTCTTCACACGCAAACATGCACCACGCGTGAAACGTCAGTCTGTGCTAAGATTTATTTCCCGGAGCGAATAGGGACCCCTGTTTATGGCCCCCTCCAGCCAGCACCCTTCGGACAGCGCCTAACCTCCTATCACCTAGCCGTCGCAGAGTGCGTCTATCCTCCAAGCTCAAGCTGACTGCGAGCTGGGCTGAATTGGCTCCCTCCCCGTACCTACTCATCTCTTCAGGTGCCCGATGGGGGCTGGGGAAGATGCTCGCCTTGGAGACTTTGCCTGGCCGATCGTTTCCAGCTCCACCCTGCATGCATCGCACGGACGCTGAGGACGGCTGGTATCTTCCACCGCTCCACAAGAACTCTGAGTCAATCTGTCCCTCCGGCCCCCTTATGTGCCCCAAAGCCCCTTAACCCCCGGGTCATATCACGTCATCCTGCGCATCCAATCGCATCCTCTTTACGGCCGTTTTGAGCACTCTGGCCGGTGGGGGGGGGGGGGTCATGTCATCCCCCCCCCTTCCCATTGTCTCTGTACCTGCGTTCCTCGCCGTTGACTCACCGATAATCCCCTCGCTCCCTCTAACTTAAATCAACTCTTATATGCCTAGGGGCTTTTTCCTCCCACCCCACTGTTTACACTGCCGCTGGGTGCTGGCCTTGAGGTCCCATTCCCCTGTGTTGTGTATGCTTCATCGCGACCGGCCTGTAAAGCTCTATGCCCCCTTCTGGGGGGGGGGGGGGGGCGCCATGTAATCCGGTCTGGGGTCTCAGCCAATTTCCTGGTCCAGGGAAACCGTGGATGTCCCTGTTAATGGGGTCCTCGGGTGAAAACCCATTGTACCAGGTGATCCCTCCTCGAGACCCTACGGGGGTGCATGTGAGTGTTTAGTGGGGCGTGCGTGCGTTCGTGGGGGGGGGGGGTGCAAGGGGAGGGTAGCGCCGGCCGAGCTGCTCTGCTGCGGTGGCATCACACTATGAGTGTGCGCGTGTTTACTCGCAGCCTGCGGAAAGACATCAGACTGGAGGAACTTCCCTTGGGATGTGCAGCTGTTCTTCAACAGTCGCTTTGCGGCCAACGGCACGATTATCGGCAGGAGGTGGATCCTAACGACCGCTAAGCAAATCGTCACTGCGTAAGTACCACCGGTCGCCGTTCTTCAAACAAAAAACCTCCCGCGCACGCACTCGAGTCAAAGTTCACACTGTGGCACACGCACATGCACTCGCGATTCTACATCTACATTATTTTGTACTTGTCTGTTGTACGGAATTTGGTACACCCTTGGACCCGCCAACGAGTTCCGGCAGGTGCACTAAATGAATATTGTTTTGAACCGAGCTGTGACACTAGCTCGTGTGTTTTTTTAAGTTTCACTATCCCCATATCAGAAGACAGGTCTTGCTCATTCAGTGCAGAGATGACCCCAGGTGGTTGTAGGAATCATCGAACCGTTCCCTCGGCACGAGTTGGCTCGGCGCCTCGTGCTTCGACCACTTGGCTGCCCCATCACTTTACACACTTGCAAATAGGCGTGGCGGGTGCGTCTCTTGCAGCCAAGGCGTCCCGAAATGGACCATCAGGTACAGCGATGGTGTGTTCCACAGCGTGGGAATCATTGCAGTGCACAGCCGATTCAACGCAAGCATGCACGACTACAACGTCGCCGTGGTGGAGCTGAGCAAAGCAGTGCCGTTCTCGGACGCAGTGAGTGCGGTGTGCCTGCCTCACGCCACGCGGCCTGCCCCTGCTGCAGGGAAAGTCTGCTACCTGGGAAATGGTACGTATTCAACATCCTCTGCATCGTCTCCGCACCTCCGATTATTAGCACGGTTGGCTACGTACAGTGCAAAAGAAGTTCAACATACAGTACATACATTCTCTACGCCAGGCGTGGTTTGTTCCCTGCGGTGAACGATCACACAAGTCGTTGTGTCCATCGTTTGTCATGTGGAGTTGCGCTTCTCGATAATTTTCTGCGCACTATTTCAACTCGATCGTGAAGTTCCACATTGAAGATGGCTTTGGCTCGTGACACGAGAAGGCCCAGCAGCCTCGAATTCAACGGACACACCGTACCTCGTGACCCTTCATGAACTCAAATCCCAGTTGCCTTAATTTATCGTCAAGTCATAGGACATGTTGAGAAGGAAATAACTATGGCGCATTAACATTATCGTAAGTGAGACCTCCTGTGTTTCAGGGTACGGACTTCCCTTGGGAATACTCAGCCAGAGTGACTGCGCCTCTGCGCAGTTCTACGGCAGCACCGTATCAAGCCGCATGCTCTGCGCACAGAACATTGAGCACAGCGGGTGCTGGGTGAGTATGCACACAAAGACAAACATCCCCCGTATACTGTTAACAGACTGTTGCGGCAAGTGCTGTTAGCGAGTACGCGTACGCACGCACGTGGGTACGTTATCATTTAAAAAAAACAAAGCGAAAAAAGACAAAAATGTCTTATTATTGTTAAACAGTTGCTGAGCATAGGTCCAAAACATTAAGCAGTCAGCAATAAACACCACTACTCTCTTAACTTAACACAGGTTTTTGCAATCAATAATATTACTATTCATAGCTGATGATCGGGTTAGGGCTACGTAACGATCTGTTCAAATCTTTGTCGTTAGAAACACACCACCACCCGCATTTAATGACACTCCAATTATAACTGTGTCAGCTCGCTCACCGGCGAGTTGAAAACAAAACTATTAAAACGTATTTTATATGTAATCAGGTAAGACCCACTGAGCTATATAGCTCTTTTTCAGAAGCAGCCTGACTTCAAATGATAGCTCAACGAAGTGGCTTATCACGTGGAAATGTAGAGCAGGAAAATACGCACGTTGATTCTAAATGTGGAGGGAAAAACCGGAGGACCCGGAGAAACATCCATGTGACCACGATGAGAGATACATGCAAAGTCCAAATATACAGCAGGCATTGTCAGGGTCGGGATCAAACCCATGACCTACTGTATACCAGGCGAGGTAGTTAACATCTCGCCACCGCAGCAAACAATTTTCACATTGCTATATCTGGCTGTGACAATTGTTAAAGTGCTTCAAACGGAGTTGGATCTCGGTTGGGGTTGACTCACCCCTTCATCCTTCCAGGGTATGATAAAATAGGTACCACTTTGAGAGAAGTCATCAGCAGTTTTCCAATGTATAGACTTATTCTGGCCACAGGTATGTGGATTTCCCACCACTCCCTCAGGACTTTAAACGGGAGATGCGCATGGCCCAATGTTTCAACTTTTTGATTGGACAAGCCGTTCATGTAACCATTTGCATTCTTTCCCACCCTTATTGGCGAAATGTCCAGAGGGCCTTCGTCGACCAGTGCCCGATGAACCTTGTGAGATGAAACTAACGCTCATTCTGGCTCGCATCAGGTCGCAAATCCAGATGCCTGGAACGTGCTTCTTTCTCAGACCTGCAATTCCCCTCAAACGACATTCAATTTGTTAATGCACACAATTCGTAAACATTGGAGCGGTGGTGAAGCAGATAGCGCACTGTGCTCTTTATCGACTGATGTCTGAACCAATCCTGGACTCCTTGGTTCGCCAACCTACACTGACCAGTGTAGTGAAGTATGGTCAAAATAACCCCCTTGACTGACATGACATGGGGAAGCCTTCGTCCAGCGGTAGATGGACAAAAGTCTGTAAATAATTATTAATGTGGTAACAAGATAGGGGATTGAAACAAGCCATTGGTGGTGGTCTACTAATTTTGACCAGCCCTCATCTAAAGTATGTGTAGTAAGTCCAACTGAATCGCAGACGTTGTTCTTTAGAGGCAATACTTTTATTGTAACATCAACCCGTTAACACAAAGGGGTAACTGCCCCTTCACCAGATACAGCCTAGGGTGGTGTCCACCCAGCTAACTACTCTTATATGTAGGAGTTACAGCTACGAAGGGTCAGACCCTCACTCGAGTCCCCAACCACGTGTTGATGCCTCGTAGAGCTTCCAGCTTGTAGACATGGAGCTTCCAGCTTGTAGAACGTAGAACCCCGTTCCCTCCCAGGGACCCACCTTATATCCCCCCGGGTTGGGGCCGCTCCGCACAAGGCCCCCCGCCTGCCTTCTCGAGCGTTCTAGCTCCCTCTCGCGTTCTAGCCCCCCCACCTGGGCACTCCAGATCACGTGTCTACGGGGTCAACCAGAGTGCCATGGCCCAGGGCATCCTTGCCGCTGGGCTGGCACACTTTCCCACTCTCCCTGGTGGGAGCCCGCACTCCACGCTATGCGTGGTGCCCGCGCTATCCCAGCGCTCACCAAGCCCCACTAGGGCTGGTACTAGACCCGCCTACGGGGTGTACGCGATGGCAGTGCCATCGCACGCCGTGCTGTGCTAGAGCTGGCCTCACACAGCAACCCACCCGGTGCTGTCCGCGATGTAGGGACATCGCACGCCATGGCCCTCTCGGGCCGGCACCATACAGTGACATCCTCGATGTTACTACATATGTATGGAACAGTATAACATACACGACTAATACTGTGTGATCTTTGTGCCGCTTGGCGGCCGGGTAGCACAGTGGGAACGCTTGTGCCTCACAGCAAGAGGGCCTGGGTTTTTATGCCCGACTCGGGCACCTTTCTCCTTGAAGTTTGTATGTTCTCCCCCTGTTCTACACGGGTTTGCTTCCATGGCTACAAAAACACACGCAGTGTAACTGTTATCTGCCACGGATCACAATGATAAAAAAACACCTGAAAGCTTCCTGTAGTTGGGATTACACGCAGCAATGTCGCTCTCCATTGTGAAAACTTGGCAGCACCCTTCTGAAAAGTGTCTCGATACAAACGTGATGGTGATGATGAACATAGCGTTGCAGAGGGTCTCAGTTCCTGACGGACAGATAGGCTTTGTGTTTAGCCCCTATCCGAAATGTGTTGAGGAACATTTCCCATCTTTTCTTACCTACTGCCGGCATTCCCCATTGGAGAGAAAATTAAGCAGTGCTATTTTTCATCATTTTCTCCACCGCGTCTTAAATTTGATTTTGCTGCTACAGATGTCAAAATGATGAGCCACTTTGTTGAGCTAACATTTGCGGCCAGGTCGCTTCTGAAAAATAAGTTAATACATCAGTGGGCTTTGCCTAGTAGGATGGGGATGAATTTTGATTTAAAGCTTTCGTGACTGCAGTAATTCATAATCTTAGCTCTTTCGGTAAAGTCCAGTGAAGGGAAACAATAAAATAATAAAAAAATATATAAAACAATAAATATTCTCACGACGTTTCGACCATAACACAAACGGTCGTCATCAGGTGTGTCGGTTTGCATTAATTTATTTATTTTAAAACAGTGTATTTATTTATAAAAAAACGTAAGCGCCACGCGCAGCGATTTGGCAGTGGCTTTCAGACAGCATACATTAATTTTTCGTCTCCCCCCTCCTCTTTTCAGAACATAGATGGACTAGTCCTTCTAAATAAATTGTCAAATCGCTGCGCATGGTGCTGACGTTTTTTTATAATTAAAATAAATACACCATTTAAAAATAAATTAATGCAAACCGACACACCTGATGACGACCGTTTGTGTTATGGTCGAAACGTCGTGAGAATTTTTATTGTTTTATATATTTTATTATTTTCTTGTTTCCCTTCAACGTGACTTTACCGAAAGAGCTAAGAATATGAATTACTGCAGTCACGAAAGCTTTAAATCAAAATTTAACCGCCTCTACGGGGAGGGTTTTCACATAACTTTAAGATCCTTCAACAAACTCCGGGATAAGAAGGCTCAGCTGATCGAGTCTCTCACCTTTCTGAAGAGATGCCGTGACTCTGGGGTAATACCAATCGCATTTACACTGACCTCTGCTGCTGTAACTTCTTCTAATGCGAAACGAATTATTTTCAAAACTAACTTAGCTCTTATCTCAGAAAAAATCAGACTTATACGCACCGAACTAGATCAGTTAGACAAGACACTCTACAAATCACACTTATCATTGACGGCAACAATGTCCACATCGGATTGGGAACATGTAGACAATATGACTGCCTCTTCAGCTACTACTATGTCGACCAAATGTAAGGACAACCTGATTTCCAAATTTAACCTCCTCTTCAACAAAATACCGGACCCACACACCAAAAAGTTAGATGTTAACAAAGTCGTAATTAATCACAGTAACAGTTCTATTTCCGATGGTCTAAAATCCGTTTTAGCTAAAGGTCTAAACTTTGCAGTCACACCTAAACACATACCAGTTAATGATATAATTGCCCAAGTAGACGTTGCTCTCAGGGGCCTGGGTCACATTGCTGCAGACGTAGCAAGATCTGAAATCGCTGCAACCCTCAAAAACGCTAAGATGCCAGCTAGCAACCTCAGCAAAGATGAGCGTTTTGAATTATATAAATTAAAAAAGAGGGATGATATTGTAGTCCTCTCAGCTGACAAGGTCAATGCTACTGTCATCATGGATAAAATAGAATACAACAACAAAACTTAAGAATTACTCGACGATGGTAGTTATACAAAAATAAAAAGAGATCCCACCAACAGCCTCGTCACACAAACCAACAAAATATTTTTTTTATTCAACCGCATTAATTGATCAATCTAAACAGTTTTCGTTGAAACCTTCTGCTGCCAGGCCACCAAGATTATACGGTTTACCAAAAATACATAAAGTAGATACACCCCTTCGTCCCATCGTCTCTACTATCAACTCCCCCACCTACAAACTGGCTCGTTTTTTGTCTGAAATCCTGCGTCCTTTCACTGGAAAAACCACCTCTGCGGTACAAAATTCTACTCACCTGGTATCGACAATCAAGGGTATTTCCCTGTCCTCAGACGACCTGCTTGTCAGTTTTGATGTAGTTTACTTATTCACCAAGGTTCCTGTACCTGACACGATCGCAATCATTGAAGACTTGGTTCATCAAGGACTAAACACTGAGGTACCCCCCCTGGTGAGACACTGTTTTAACCAATACATACTTCACTTGGAATGGAACTTTCTACAAACAAACTGAGGGCACCCCAATGGGCTCCCCCCTATCTCCGGTTATAGCTAACATTTTCATGGAGAAATTTGAGACTGACACCATCCAGACTGCCACTCTGCGCCCAACTTTATGGAAGAGGTACGTGGATGACACTTTTGTCATCTGGCCACATGGCCGGCCTGCTCTAGACCAATTCTTCGACCACATCATTTCCATACACCCAGCCATCAGATTTACCATGGAAGTCGAAAAAGATGGCAAGCTACCTTTTTTGGATGTCCTAATTAAAAAGAGACCTGATGGTTCAATGAGCCACTCTGTCTACAGGAAAGCTACCCATACGGATGCTTATCTGAAACCGGATTCCCACCACCATCCATCACAGAAGAACTCTCTCATCAAGACTCTGTATCATAGAGCCCAATGCATATCCGACCAGGAACACATAGGCAGTGAACTCAAGCACGTACACCAAGCTCTTAAGGCTAATGGTTACTCCGACTATACAATCCGCAAAGCTATCACTCAAACCATGAAGAAGGACCCTCTTGAGGAGCCTTTCAAAACCATCACTTTACCCTACATTGCAGGGATCACAAAAAAGATCTCCAAAATCTTGAATAAACACAAGATCAAGGTCCGTTCAACACATTACATAAAATCCGTGATCTGGTTCCGTCTGTAAAAGATGTGATTCCGGACATACAGTACCCTGGTGTCTACAAACTAAGTTGCCTCTGTGGTAGTAGTTACATTGGAGAAACCAAACGCCATGTCTCGGACCGCATTCGTGAACACAAAGCAGACCTTAAACACGGTAGGACCAACACCTCGGCCGTGGCAGATCATTGTTATAATTCAGTAGGCTCACATGACATTGACTTTTCCAAGACAGAGGTTCTTTCTAAGCCATCTGGCTACCATGAGAGATTCGTTCATGAGGCTATCCACATATACAAGCACAGAGACAATTTCAACCGAGAAGATGGATTCTGGCTTAGCAATCATTGGAAAGATTTGATTATCAATTTCAGGTCTTAATTGATTGTTCATGCTTACAGTGGCTTTCAGACAGCATACATTAATTCTTCGTCTCCCCCCTCCTATTTTCAGAACATAGATGGACTAGTCCTTCTAAATAAACTGCCAAATCGCTCCGCGTGGCGCTGACGGTTTTTTTATAAATAAATAAACCGTCAAAAACAAATAAATTAATGTGAACCGACACACCTGATGACGACCGTTTGTGTTATGGTCGAAACGTCGGGAGAATTTTTGTTTTATATATATTTTATTATTTTATTGTTTCCCTTCAACGTGACTTTACCCAAAGAGCTAAGAATATGAATAGGATGGTTTAGTTTAATTTGTGTTTTGGTGATTTCTTTACCTTTCATGTACTTTGCACTACTGTCGTGTTTTAGTTTTGTTTGCTATTGTAATGTTCTTACCCACCCCTACTGCACATATGTGAAAAATAGCTCATCGGATTCTTCCAGTAATATTCTGATTCTGAATTGCTTTCTGAAACGTAATTATAATTATTGTGTTTTAGGCAAACTCGGCCCAGTCACTGGTGTGCAGAGAGGAGGACGACAGGTGGTATGTTACTGGCCTGGCCAGCTGGGGCAACCAATGCAACTACCTACCAGCACGTGCATATCCCGGCGTCTTCACTAGGGTCTACAAGTTCCTCGGTTTCATCGAGGGCATCGCAAACTGACACCGAAAACATCGCTCTAAAACGGCTCGGCATACTCCTCCACCGGAGCAGCGCTGCTACACACAGTGCATGTCGTCTCCGTGCTATCCAAACTGGACACGGTTCGCTCAGCAGTCGCCGAGGTACATCGAGGTGGTATATCGAGTTGGGTTTCGTTCACCGCATCGCCACATTCGAGGCGAACTGTAGGATACATTGTTCGTAGAAACTAATTTTAAGTAAAGTTGTAGAGGAATGTCATGTTACGTACAGTACATTTAGTACGAGTGTAGTTTGATGGACACAGTTGAGGCTTACCACGTTATATTAAGGTTGAAACTTGGCTGTATCATTACAAGTGTAATGAACGACTCCCACGACTCTGGACTGGTGTCTTTTATTTAACAGAATGTCTACACAGCTCCGCTCTCTCTCTGGGTAGTTCTCTTGCTTCCTCGTCCGCTGCTGCGGCACGTCTCCCTCTCTCTCTCCGTTCACGCCGCTAGTTGGCGGCGTGCCCGGAGAGACGGCTTAGCTGGAGGTTCGCCACGTGGTCGTTGGCGAGGAGAGGTAGGGCGGCGATGCAATCCGGACCCGAGGCTTGCCACACCGACTCCGAGTCTTCTCCTGCCTCCGCTTATATGCCCCCCCGGTGGAGCTAAGCTCCGCCTACGGCCACGCCCCCTCGTGGAACCCTCCAGATGGTTCCCGAATATTCCCCGTAGCTCCGTCCGATACCTTTGGCCTAGATTGAATCCCTACTCCAGACTGGATACCGGTTACCCAGCGGTGGCCGTGCAGATGTCCCCTGTAACCCCCCAGGTGGCGCTCTCTCAATACACAAGTCACCACTGGACTACACAAACCTATTGCCGAAAGTGATCACATTTTACAATGTCGCCTGATGTTACAGGATGCTTACAAAGTCAGGCCTAATTGAATAGGTGTAGGCTTTTGCGACCAATATATTAGGAAGCCACTAGAGCTTTGCACGTTTAAATCTAGTTTGAAAAGTAAATTTCTTTAGAACTGCTTTTTGTGTTTAGCTTGTCCTTTCCCCACACCTCCGATTAGCACGGTTGGCTACGTACGGTGTGGAAGAAGTTCAACATACGTCCATATATAATTGGTTGTTTCAGAGCTTATAAGTAAAATGTGCGTCGTACACCCTTCTCCACCCAACACAGCCAATTATTAAAGTTGTCACGTGATGAACAATCGTGCCAATTAATTACTTCTTTAGCGCATCAGCAGAGATGTGTGAATCGCTCTCCAACACACCCGCCGTTGCTCACGTCACAACGTCACTAATCGGCTTTTTCGGGTAGGAGGATTTACAACACACATTTTACTCACGCAGCGCTCCGACCCAATAAACGATTTTGAATCGGGTCAAATTTGCTCAATGTGCGTAGAGCCTGGTTTTACCCTTACTGGAAACCTCAGACGTGCACACGGGAGCACTGCAATTGGCCCCACTGCTTCACCAGCTCCTGCAACCGCCTCAAGGTTCTAAATCAACCCGTTACCACCACCACCACGGCGCAAGCACCATTCTAGGCACAAGGGGGAACTACGTTGTGCTTGCTTTATTGTCGACAACCGTTAAACACTTAAACACTTTGTAATTACATGCATGTCACGCAACTTGTGTGCGGCGTCACAGCCCTTGTGCAACAAATCTGTCGTGTTTCCAGTGACATCACTCAGCCTCAACAGTGCGTTGGTTTCACGTCTACGGAATAATCGGCACACTCATTAATATCCGTTTTGTTTTAAAAAAATATTGCTGGTGTACTTTGGCATTTAGTATACGCTGATATATTGAAATTATAAAATAATATACATTAAATGTTTTATCTCGGAATGTATTAACCGTGCTGTGTTAGGGCTGTTGTGTTCAGTGACCAATGTCAGTAAGAGCACAGAATACACCTACAAACTGGCACCTCTTAACCGAAGACACGGCGCCTTATCAACTTCTGCCCACCCCCAAAGGTTGACATGTTTATCAACTGTTGAGGCTGCAAGTATTTTTTTATGACTGCATAGGTCATTCACATAACCGATAGGCTTTTCAGTTTTACGACTGGCAATGAAAGAAGTAACACTGATAAGCTATGGTCGGGAAACTTACCGAGGGCGACACTTTCTTCCAATGCACACACAGGCATTGACCCCACTGTGTCTGAGGGAGCCTCAAATAAATGAGATTAGAGAGCCAAAGTGATGGGCTGTCACGCCACAAATCTGACCATCATGAAAGCCATCAAACACAGGATCACATACATATATACTTTTAGGGTTAATCTACATCCCGCTTGGGAAACCCTAAACAGGCATTATAGTCAAAGGAACAAAGGACAGTATCTGGAGGGCTGGGTTACTGAACTTGGTGTATAGTTGGGGGCATTGGTCAGGATATTCCGAGAAGAGGTAAATTACACAAATCGGGTGTTTTGTAGGTGTAAGGTACTGGCTTTATAGGAATTGTAATTATTATAATAGGAGTCTTTCCACCAAATATCCGACCTGGAGGCTCAGCGGTAGAGCGAGCGTTTCGCAAGTTTCAAGGTCACATCCCGGTTTGGGAATTACTTCGTCATCCATCATCCCTCCAGTGTCAATAAAATAAACACCACTTGATGGGGAAGTCAACAGTGGTTGTCCTATGGAGGGATTCGCCCTGCCACATGAATTAAGGAATTTCCACCGCTGGCTCCGGGCTTAAGCGAGAGATGAGCGTCACCTCAATGCCCAATTGAACAAGACCCGTCCATTGCAGTGCCGTTGAGAAATGAGAACAAGCTACCACACTGTCTCGGTAAGGTCAGAGGCAACTTCGAGATCTCTCACTGTGCTTAGCTTCTTCACACGAGGTTTCAGAGACGAGGGGAGGTGCTCCCTTGACTCGGGCGTGTCGAGTGATGGCGGAGTAAAGTACTGTACACAGGAGATAACAGTAAACAAGGTAGACGCTTGGGTGTAAATACAGAGGGCAGTTGAACGGGAACCATTACGTTCCTCACTGGCATAAACAAAGCACGTATTTAGCACCATGTCACCGTAAGTTTATGGGTAACAACCGCACACCGAAACCTGTCACTCTCAAAGGGCGTCATATTTCCACAATGTCTCAGCTCTCAGAGGGTTACAAACTTTCGGTTCCCCAATTCCCACGTGGACTCAATTTCATAACAAAACAATGCGGCCTCCCAGCCACACAAGAGATGCCTCCGCCCACACAACTTGTAAACACGCAAATCCGAGCAAACCCTCGTCTCCTTCACTCTTAAGCTATTTAAGGCGCTCGTAAAAAATGTATTACATTTTTGAATTAAACTACCTATTAGGAGTGATTAAAGATGTGCTTGCGGTGGGCAGGCAAAAATAAATTATGCAAAAGCTTCGTCGTGGTGGTGGCGGTTCAGGCGCGGGTACAGCCTTGTGATGACGAGGCGACAGTTGCTGCCACCATTTCTGTACTTCATAGAAAACTTCCTTGCTATTTACCAATTTCAAAATAAAACATCGCTGCTTCATTAATGATAATTCACAAACATTTCTTGCAATTTCTTCATTCTCCCAGATGACTAAGACTTGTGCCGAGGAACCAATGTAACCCTGGCCTTAATGTGGAAATTAACCTTCTTAGAAGTAGCGCATGCAGTGTTTAACATGATCTACGTGTCATTGTGTGTCACGACAGTGCTAGATTGGTGTTGTGTGGTGTAGGTGAATAAGCTGCACGTGTCCTGGAGGCGAGGGTTGGTTGATCGGTAAAATAACAAAATTTTGCAAGACTCCCTTCGTGTGGGCGTGGAGGTACCATACCCAGGTTTTGCCGATGCAGTACAGCAAAGTGTGGACCGATACCATCTGTCCCTTCTGTATGGGATAGAGTGTTGCCCCATGCATGCGTGGATTTTCTCCAGTCTCTCCGGTTTCCTCCCACGTATAAACCTTCACTAATTTGCTGAAAATATCTTAACATATCGAGAACTGCAGAGCAATTGTTGGCGTTGGCTCACCACCTGGCATCATTCCAGCTTATCTCTTGTTCCTCAGCCATTGTGAGTTACAATTTGCATGAACGACGATGGGATATAAGATTAATCACGAGTATCTGTGTGTGGCTTGATGTACATTTAAACGTGCTCTTCACACAGAGGCGCCTTGACACGTGCGCAATGTGGCGTTAGACCTTTTCCAGCATTGCACAGCACAAGCTTTCATTTGCATCTTTATAAGAAAAGCGCCTGCTGTGCATGCTATTCACGATAACAGCCTTCAACCACCACAATAAACCCTTGGTTTCACCCCTGAATACCTTCACTATTCCCACTTTAGAGCTTTATCGGACATACAAGTTACTCGCACATTTTAGCTCATGTCCACACACCGATTTTGTAGCTGTTACCAAACGTGTGTGTGTGCCTTCGTCTATAAAAGCGGCCGGGCATGGTGCTGGCCTTCATAGGTGCTCGCTAACAGCACTTGCCCCCAAAGTCTAAGGCTATACATGGGATATTTGTCTTGCCTTTGTCTATGGGAGTGAATAGTGGCTATTGCTAGATACTAATCCGTCCACTAACCTCTTGTGCAACCGTGGATGTAAACCTCTCCTGCGTTGGCTCAAACAGCCGCCTGTTACCCTACAAGTGAAAAGCACTCGCGGGCAGAACACCCTGGGACAGCTGGTGTAGTCACCGGGCACCGACGTAAACGTGCGGAGACCGGAGAGTCGCACCGTCCAAACACGTCGTGCCAAACACCCTCACATGCACACATGCATATATACTGTATGACATGTCATCGCTACACAAATGTGCACCCCACAAAAACACGGGTTATTCCACACAAACCGTGCGGTACAAACACGCACACACACCACACAAGCCACACAGATATGCACATGTACCGTACACGATTGCTATTCTACTTATTTGCAATTCCACACAGTAATCTCCTTAGAACTAGTTGCACCCTGTCTGTCGAGGTGCGGTCTGTGAGTGTGAAGCCGTGGCCTCTGTGGGACACACTAGGCCACCGAGGCCGGGTATATCTGAACACATTAGACGGAGGCGGCGGGTCCGCAGCAGTGGAAATGAAATGCGGATGGCGATAACATGACGATAGGGAACACACCACGAACATTTGTGGCGTTGAGCAAGATTTAAAACGATTACCGTTCAACCTTTTGTTCATTCAAACAATGAACATTTTTTTGGTCCTTTTTCACAAAATTTCAATTGTGTTTAAGTAGTGGCATTTCGGTTCACAATGAAGCGTGTTTCCAATTCGGGAACCACAACAGCAGAGCCACGCGCCTCATTCTCTCGTGAGCCTTGACATCACTGCCTTAGATAGCCTCCACGGTTCCACGTAATCGTACTGCACCGTGCGCTACGTACGCATCTTTTAAGGGAGTGAACTGGAACCATGAATTTACTTCATAAAATAACCTGGCCCTGCCTCTAGTTGGTTACCCAGAACTCAAGCAGGGGCCCTCAGTGACAGACACGAACACCGGCTGTGAGATGCACAGGCACCTCACAAAGGTTAATGAATAATCCTCTCAATGCTGAGTGCCGTCTTAAAAAATATACAAGTTATTCATGGTTATCGCACATCAACTTCATGTATTGCAAGTGTCACTGTTACAGATAAGGGGGTCTCGGGCACCCACAATACGTATCAAGCAAGAGGCAAATCGACAAGCGCATGCAGGACACACATACTGCTGCTCAACTTAGCCTCGAGCACCCTGCTCCACCACCTCTGGGTCCCATTTACTTTCAAAGACCGTAACTTGGGTTATGTGTAGCCTTCAAACTCCGCTGTGCACAGCAGAACAGGCAGGCAGTGCACTTCACGGAGCGGTAACGACGCGAGGGAAATGCTTGCCCCGTTTCCATAACCATCCAGAGCTGTACTGGAGCGAGGCTCAGCCTTAGGCTGAGCTGCTTAGCTGCCACGATTTCCACGAGCGGGGCCCTGAGCTGTGCCTAAGCGGACCACGTGTCTAAATGTGCTGCCCCCTTCGGGCCGGCAAAACACAGAACCAGCCATGACCTCACAGCTAATCATAGCAGCGAGACACTTGTGTTGCCGACGTGCAACATACGGTGTGAGTGTGCGATGGCACGACATCACGGTGCGAGAGCATGACGGCTTGACATCATGGTGTGAGAGCGTGACATCACGGTGCGAGAGTGCGACGGCGTGAGATCACGGTGCGAAAGCGTCACGGCTAAACATCACGGTGCGAGGGCTTGACATCACAGTGCGAGAGCGTGACATCACGGTGCGAGCGCGTGACATCACGGTGCGAGAGCGTGACATCATGGTGCGAGAGCGTGACATCACGGTATGAGAGTGTGATGGAGCGATAACACGGCGAGGGAATGGCGAGGCACCCACGCTGTCACGCCGTGACATCGTTCGCCTACTCAAACACCGAGCCGAGTTTAAAACTACAAGGCAAACATAAAAACATGCCAACTGTAACCGTTAATGGCCTCACCTATCCCAAACAGATAGTCACGGAAAACAACGATTTATTGTGCCATTTCCCCACTACCGACCCTGACCTCACCTAGGGTGCTGGCCCCGTGGAGGTGTGCCCTCGGAAAGCGAAAAACTAGGCTGAGCCTACATGAGCGGGAAGGTGACGGGGGAGAGGGCAGGGGAGATGGAGAGGGCAGGGGAGACTTAAGGGGCAGGGGCGATTGAGAGGGCAGGGAGATGAAGAGGGCAGGGGAGATGAAGAGGGTAGGGGAGATGGAGAGGGCAGGGGAGATGGAGAGGGCAGGGGAGAGATGGAGAGGGCAGCGGAGACGGAGGGGGCAGGGGAGAGATGGAGAGGGGGCAAAGGAGATGGAGAGGGCAGGTGACATGGAGAGGGAGACATCATGCCCACACAAGTCTCAGTATCTTGTTCTTCAGACCGACGCGAATGGTCATCCTATGTCGTGTATTACAGAGTTTTGCATCAAACTAGGACCCGTATCGAACAGAGAGATTCCTTGCCTATACCCATCTGGCAGTTGACCAGTATTAGCTCAAGCAAGCCTGACTCTGCTGACGAGACATTAAATGTCGAAAACGGTCCAAGAGCTTTCTTGTGTTGAAGCTGTACTGCTGAAATTATGCGCTCCCAGACGGGCTGTGTAAAAACAAAAAGTTACTTGTTATGTGGAGGAGTCTCATATGTAACGGAAGAATGTCCGATTATTTACTTTGTAACCTGCAGACTAGGGACCGAAGGCTCAGCGTGGGACTGGTGGGACTGTTTCGAGGCTGGAAGCCCGTGGCCTGGGTCCCCCTACATCTTGCCTTGGTTGTAGAATCAAAGGATTCGAGTAGAGGCCATAGACAAACAAAACGTGTCACTGCCAAGGACGGCTGCATTGTAAACAGGAGGCTCCGGGATGAGTTTAAATACATAAACGTAAAACAAGGTACAGGTGCAGCCTTCAAATATAGGTTGTTTGTAAAACACAAATATATTGCAACATTAAAAAAACGATATAAGTATATGCTGTAGGTTAATGTGCGGCATAGATTACATTAAGTGCATGCTTGTAAAGTGGCTAAGTGTAATTCCCTTCAACTTTATCCTTGTACTACCCAAAGTACACAGAATGGCTTGGATAACAAAACCCAGCCTCGCGTGTTAAGACTATAAACGTACACCTTGTGATGTTCCTATCACTGGACACGACACTCACCGCTCTATCTGCTTGTCCAATGGGAAATGTGCCGGCTCATTTGTTGGAGCCAGGTTCGCCGGCTCATCCCGGTGTCCCACAGCACCCTGCCGGGCCGAGCCACCAAGAGGCCTCGGGCCATGACTGCAAGTGAACTCGCGAGCACATGCTCACACTGAGCCACTTACACACGAGTGGGGTTTCGCCACCTTTTGCACTGCAGACCAAACTCAGGCAACATCTCTCAGTCGGCCTCAGTCCATCATCAAAAACTGTCCAGCAAAACTGAAATAAGGTTCAACACAGTGCCGCTCCTGAGATCTCGGTACAAATAGATTTCTGCCACGCGAACACAGATGCCGCTTGCCGGAGTGCCCGGGTTAAACCCAGGCAGGAAGCAGCCCTACACGTGAGCCGACCTCGAGTCTAGTCGTCACGTCGCGGGGTCGTCACATCGCGGGGTCGGCACGGAAATGGGGCGCGTGCTTGGTGACGTTCCTCGCTCAGTTCATCTTCTCAGCTGTGCTCAACGTAAAAAAAATGCCGTCAGATAATTTACAAAAAAACCCCTCACTTTAAAAAATCTAACCTAATCTGTGCCTATGCTAAATGTTGTCGGCCTCTGGCCACAGAGGGTGTGGGTAGGGTCGAGGGGGGAAAGGGCTGGCGCACGGAGTCGTGTGGGCATGTGGGGACGTGATATTCCCAGCCATGTAGATGATCCCGGAACGCGCGCGCGCGTTGCTTCCGGCCCACTGAGTTCGGTCGTGAGTGGTTACAGACTCGCAGCGCCGTCTGCTAGCTTTTGGTCATAATCAACCGTGACAGGCGAATATTTCACAAGTCAGTCCATAGAGCATGATCATCAACTATGTGTGAGGATGCTGTACAAAACAAACTATGGTAAGAGTTGTGTTGTAAATGAAGACGGGAGTGGACAACTTACTCACATGTGTAAAAAGTACACTTGCCTTCTCTTAAACATTCTCTACCATAGACAACCTTATTATCCTCTACACCGATCAGAAAAAAAAAAAGATTTTGGTAACTTAAATGGTACATTCATAATTAAGTACAAAATATAATCAATTATATTCCCTACTAAAGTACCTTAATTCCCAAGATGAAAAAAGCTCTTTGCTGCTGGCTGCTTGACTTGTTAGGCCATTGGGCCTGTGCTCATGAACCGTGATTTAAACAAATGGTAGACAGCATGCAAAATGTGTGGGGGATTTGTGATTTTTAGATAAATGTGTAAGTTTGGAAATGTTCAACCGTGTGATTTCTACCTATTAAAGGAGGTGTTTATATTTTACATAAGTCGTAACATGTTGTGAGAGCAAGTGCTTTTATTCTCAATACAGGTCATATTTTATGTAATTCGTTAGATTAAAAAGTTGGTGCTCCTGTAATTTTTTTTATACCACAAAATCTGTTTGGAACAATTCTCTCTGTGTGCATAAACAACGCGCTACTCGGTCGTTCGGTGATCCACGTTCCGTCACTCCTGGTGTGCTTATGGTAAAAATGACGTACCAATAGAAAGTATGTTACACTTTTGTTTGCCTTCTTAGATGTTTAAAAAATATTTAACTGATTCTAAAAATCTGTTTTGCTCATCACGGTAATATTCTTACCAAGTTTGATCAGATACTATTAAAACCTGGTCGCTACAATTATTGCTTTGCCGTGAAGATGTTTAGGATAATTTACCGATGTACAGTTTCACACACGGCTACGTTCGCAACGGTGGCAGGGTGATGGCGATGGCGGCGTGCGTGGTCATCAACGCAGCAGCTCATACGAACGCGGGTCGCGCGTCCAGCGAGGTGGCCAGCTCCCGCACAAGCGCCAGCAGACGCGGATTCGAGAGAAGATCCTCCGTGGGAAGGGGAGGCCGCGACTCAGGAAACGAGCCCAACGCCTGGGACACAGACCAAGCGGCACAATAAACGAATCCATCCGTTCGTGGTGCGAGCAAGCGTGATGCGCAGGCCTGCATGCAGCGTGCCGTGCCGGGCACACACCGCGTGTGCCGCTGTGTTATGATGCATGTGCCGTGTGTGCCACGCACGCTGTGTTGTGATGCTTGTGCTGTGTGTGCCACGTACGCTGTGTTATGATGCGTGTTCCGCGAGTGCTTTACCCGGAGTTGGCGATGTGCACGCATGGCGCACGACATCAGGATGAACCGAGCCACCAGGCGGCGGATAAACACGTCCCCCAGGAAGAGCAGCCAGGAGGGCTCTAGCGCGGACATACGCAACACACAAGCACCCCGCTTCATATGCATTTCTCATCGGGACGGCCACCACCATTCGATGCTTCAACTCTTTTTAGCTGAAATTGACATTTCTGTCAATTCTCTTACTATTGTCAATTTGATGACGCAGGTCACTCTAGCAAATGAGACCATCTGGTTGATTCAAGCTCTATTAACTTTTTTTTGAAACACCTGCGCAGAAACTAGCCAAGCAGAGTTCATACACCAGGGCTTTAACATTTGCAAAAATACACGTCAACACGGTTCACTTTCCTGATGGAGACATTACACCAGTGGCTTCGACAACCCAGATCAAAGAATGTGCATCTATTGGAATATGCAGATATCGTAAACAGCAGAAACACATTCCTTGCAAATGCATAGAAGCAGATAACAACCACGTGAAAATGTACAGTTAGTGCATTTCTTAGAAGCTGTAAATGTATTTAAATGTCGCTCGCGCTTGCATATTTTAGCTGCGACTGTTGCCAGGAAATAGCATTAGTAATCTATGTAAGCTATGTGTTGAACTTCTTTTGCACCGTATGTAGCCAACTGTGCTAATCGGAGGTGTGAGGGAAGGGCTGAACACAAAAAGCAAGTAAATATTAATAGCTGTAGAAATTAGACATTAATTATTTCGTAAATATGCAACCTCTATTCCAGTTTATTCCACGTAAAAGCTGCCTTCCCCGTTTTGTTACATGCCTCCATCATCGTTAGCATTATGCTCATCGTTTGGCCTGTTCAAAAAATGTGGGGCTTTAGTACTAAGGCCCGCTAAGCTCAACATAGTGTTTTATCATGTGAAAATGTATGATAGCCAAATATTCTAATCGCACGTTCATTCTAAATGTGGAGGTGAAAACTGGAGGAACCGGAGAAAAATCCACATGACCACGGGGAGAACATGCAAACTCCAAATATACAGGTGTCAGTGTCAGGATCAAACCCATCACCTCTTCTTGTAAACCAGTTGAGGGAATTAACATCTCGCCATCGCGGCGCCCCACGTGGTTACACAAAATGCACTTGAACCGTTTCGTCCTGCGCACGGTCCACACGCGTGTGAGCAAAGCGCACAAGCTCCCAGCGAGAGCTCCAGGATGCCCTACCTGGCTGAGACGCCCCCAGAAGCGCCAGCGCCTCCACCTCGCCCTGCTGCACCCGCTCGCAGCAGGTGGCGACAAGCGACGCGGGCAAGGGCCCCCCGATGCCGCACAAGCTGGCGAAGCCCGCCACAGGGCACGCCAAAAAAATAGTCAACAGCCCACCGCCACCAGAGCCTGCGTGTGTGTGCATGCGTGCGTAAACAGAGGCAGGCACATACAGCCACAGCAACAACTACGAACGCTTGGTTACAAAGAACCCTTGTATAGCCTTCACAAACTGTTGGGGCAAGTGCTGTTAGCGGCACGGCACACGAGGGGTGGGTGGCAGTGCCATGCCCGGCCGCCTTCATCTCCCAAGTGGCGATGTTCACACATCACAACATGAGACCAAGTCGACCTAGGGGAGGCCCAGGTCCTCATCACCGTGAGCGGGAATCGAACTTGGGTCGCCGGGTTTGTACAAAGAGAAAGATCCCCCGTATAGCCTTAACAGACTGTTGGGGCAAGTGCTGTTCGCAAGCACCTTTGCGCGCACACACATGTCCATGCATTGTACGAGCGTAATATTATATTTAAGTGATATTCTCAAATGAGCATTGAGGCATTGGTAGTGATATCAATTCCCACCTCCCATGGCAGGGGTGAGTCTCCTATAGGACAACCACTGTTGACTTCCCCACAATGTGGTAACAATGATATATTTTTTTGCACTAAGCAGGCAGATAAATAAAGAAAGCATAGACGTGATAACAATAGTCCAACCATGGATTTCACTGCCCCGCAGCAGCCTATAGCAACCTGTTGTGTATGGTGGTCACCCATCCGAACACTACACAAGTATGAATCGGGCATAATCCTGTTCAGCATTTCGAGTATTTGGCTGCTCTACATTTCCACATGATAAGCCACTTTGTTGAGCTATAAGTTATGGCCACGTTGCTTTTGAAAAAGAGTGACAGTTCAGTGGGCTTTACCTGGGAAAACAATAAGTTTATAGTTTAATAGTCTTAGTTTAGCTTCCAAAATCTGAGATCGGGTGCAAATTGAGTCATGTGGCCATAGGCATAAATTACACAAACCACTTCAACACACGTGAAGCTCGATACCTGCGGAACAAGCACGTGTGGGTGGTGTGTGCACGCTGTGCAGAGTGCGTCGCCGTGACGACGGTGCCGAGCGTGGTAACCTGTGAGGTGCTTGGGGCACGATGTGGGGGACAGCAGGCACAGCAGGGGAACGCCAAATGGACTGTACACGCCCTACAAAGACAAAGATCCCACATATAACCTTAACAGACTGTTAGGGCAAGTGCTGTTAGTGCGCGTCTATGATGGCCGGAATGGCACACGAGGGGGTGGGTGGCCAGCACCACGCCCGTCTGCTTTTGTGTCCTTCGTGGCAACGTTTACAGATCACACCAGGTACTCATTTGAGGCTGCGTCGACCTAGAGGAAACCCGGGACCAGTTCAGATAATCGTTACTGTTGTCACGAGGTTTGTAGCGCGGCTCGCTAACCGCTGTACTACCACAACCCCAAGTAACCTACAAAAATCCCCTGTATAGCCTTAACAGACTTTTGGAGCAAGTGCTGATAGCGAGCGCCTATGCACACCCTACCTACACGCACACACATGGAACGCGTCTCAAAGTCAACCATACGGTTCAGCTGCTCTGGGGCTAAACACACTGGCTTGCATGCAGCAATATGATACAGCCTTCATATACTTTTTAGACAAGACTTGTTAGAGAGCACCCATTAAGGCCGATTCTGAGCACGAGGGGTGGGTTTGCCAGCACCAAGGCTAACAAAACCATTACACTGAACATAGAGATGAGAGTGATTGTGAAGGCTGTGACGAATGTGGTTCCACAGATGAGTCTGCCATGGCTGGTAAAGAGATGCCAACGACACTCGTTATTTTTTAGTTGCTGAACACAGGCCAAAAACTATACAAGTTGTAATAAATAAGAGTTGACACGTTTCTTTAATTGAGCTGGGCTATTACATGAGCTTTGGGAAAGAGACAATGGGAGGGAATTCCTAAGTGGAGCAGTGCAAGGGATGGAGGGAAAATGAAAGTGAGGTGAACCGTAGTGCGGTGTTGTGGACAAAACGGTCAGTCTGGTAAACCGAGTCCTCAACGTGGGTAGAGGAAGCAATGAGCGAAGTTCATGGAAACAGTAACCATGGTAATAGTAGCAATAGGGAGGTGTCTGAACGTGTAACTGGGTTGAATCGATGAGCGCTGGCTCATCAATCATGGCGACCGCGAGGGCTCCACGTGGACACCTTGTAGGCTGAGCTGCTGGGCGAGTCGACGACGACGACGAGCGGCTTTCGGGTGAAGGGGAGGAGGTCGCCGGGGTGCAGGCTGCACTCAGCACCACGGCGCGCACACACAACACAAGCGTCGGCGCCTAGCGGGCGACTTCGGCGACGGTCGCAAGGTGAACCCGGGCAGCTGCTGATGAACAAATACGGTCCTCATAGCGGAACTTGGAAGCTAAACTAAAACTAGTGAACTATACACTTTTTTATTTTACCAGGTAAGGCCCACTGAGCTGATAGCTCTTTTTCAGAAGCGACCTGGCCACAAATGATAGCTCAATGTAGTGCCTCATCATGTGGACATTTATGGTAGCCAAATACTTAAAATGCAAGTTTCTAATTGTGGAGGGAAAAACCAGAGGACCCAGAGAAAAATCCACGCGACCACGGGGAGAACATGCAAACTCCAAATATACAGGCACATGTCCACCATGTAATAACGCTGTAGTTTACATTGTTGTCTGCATTACCCTATAAAAAAAATTTTGCTATCCAAAAATGACCCGTATGACGCCTGAGCATCTGTCTGCTTCAGTGAAAATGAGATGGGCCCCATCTTTCTCAGCAGCCCTCAGTCAGTAATGCAAATTCCACATTTCCATGGAGAGGTAGCGAGCGGCTCACCAAATTTTCACAAAGTGGTACGAATTTTATTAATGCTGAAGGGATAGGTTGTCATCCCGCAACTAGAGTATTAACTCCAATTTTTTAAAAAAAGTCTATTTCAACTCTAAATTGAAAACTCATTTCTTTAGAACTGTTTTGTGTTTAGTTTGTTGTCCTTCCCCTGCACCTCCGATGAGCACGGTTGGCTACATATAGTGCGAAAAAAGTTCAACTTACATCCATGTACAGCTGTTAGGTTCTGGGAGCTGCAATTACACTTCACTAGCTATGAGCAATGTAGACGCACACACAGATAATCATAACTGAGAGTAGAAAACAAAACCATGCTGAAAAACTCACACTATTGAAATAAAGACAAAATTCAAATAGATCTTTAAAAAAAAATCTAGAATCAGTACAAAAAAGACATTGCTTTTACGCTCGCATTCATACAGTTTTGGTAATAATTTAAAATATTTTAAATGACAGACTGCAGAGGAATATGTTCTTAATATAGTGAAGATTGTGCCATTTGAGAGGATTTAAATAAAAAGCGGATTTTGTTTGATTTAGTTTCAAAATTTGCATATTTTAATTATCAAGAGATTAACTATGAAGTTATCAAAGAGTCAATGGTGGCAGCAAAGTATTGGAGATTGCATTAACGAGGAACTTATAACAACTCAGGGTTATTGTTGTCTACAGGGAAATGTTTCTGCACTGATTACAGAACCCACCACAATGGACAAGGCCATTGACATGAAGTGGAAATCAAATGGTCACATGGCAGGCCAGGCCTCCACATCACCATCATCAAATATAGGCAAGGAATAATTCATAATCGAGTTTTAGGTTACGCCATGTCGTGATCTAGATTTTTTTCTTTGGGAATCCCTACACCACCCAACACTGTCAAATTAAACTGTTACGTGCACGAGCGATTATTGTTTCAGCTCACAGGTGAGCTGAAGAACAAATCTCACAATCAAATTTAGCAAAGAGATACGAAATTTTGCTTGGAATTGTGTCAAGCATCCTCAGGTCACGAAATATACGTGCGAGGTAGTCATGAAAGTTGACAAGGAGTACTTAAATACAAGCATTTATTACTTCAGCAAAGAAATCCCAGTATGGTGCTGGGAAGGTTACGGATAAAGCACGGTGGGACAGCGGCTAAATGCGTGGGCGTGAGTCCGCGGCGGGCACCAGTGGATGTGGCGTAGCAGTGGGGTGTGCGCCGCCGCAGGCGTGGCCGGGTCTGGTGCTGCGGTGTCGCGCCGCGTGTATGTCATCACGCCTCCCTGCTCGTACGGCCCTGGGCGGGGACGGGCGACATGCGCACGGTGTTACAGTAACGGCTTCCACGGCGCAGGCTACGGCCGCTGCTTTTAACAGGAATGCTTTTTGTATGCATGAAGTATATCGATACAGAAGCACGTTGGGACGCTCAGAAGTGTGGACACTGGGAACGGGTTGGGGCTTGGAGAAAACGAATCTAGGAGCGAATTAAAGATAAGAATGAAATACAGGACAAGTGGAAGGCACGACCAGCGTTAATCGTCATGAGGAAAGGGTCCCAGACGCAGATGTTGGTGGCACTGGCAGAAAGAGAGTGAGCTCCAACGGTATAGAGGTTGCATGAAGGTTCAGGAAGATGGCCTTGGTTGGTAGAGCCGAGAAAATGAACAAGTGAGCGGCTAGAGATGAGAAGGGAAAGTACAGGTGTGTGGCCAAGTCGACGATGGATTTGAGAACATTGAGCTGATCCTGACATTGATCTCAGAATGAAGAGAGTAAAGTAAAGGCATCCGAGTGGGTGATGTGGTCTCCTTTTACAGAAGTGGTGAGAAGTCTGACAGAGGTGTTTTGTACGATCAAGAGAATCGGGGAGGCCATACAAAAGGGATTTGGGAAGTCCACAAAAGGATATTGCCTCAAACTCCGTAGCAGCAAGATTTAAAAAAATATTTCTTTAGAGCTGTTTTTTGTGTTTAGTTTGTTGCTCTTCACCAACACCTCTTATGGCACGGTTGGCTACATGCAGTGCGAAATAGGTTCAACATACATACAACAATTACATGCAAAGTTACGTGGTAAGCGGTATTTTTTTTTATTCGAGATTACTCCTCACAATGCAGAAATGTAGAGACCGAGTGCTGCACTGTTCATCGGAGAGAATTACCTCGTTCTTTGCAGTCGGAAGGAGGGAACACTCCAGATGCCGAGAGATAGAGCAGCAGCGCCGAGTCAGGCGGCAACTCCTGCAACGCACAAGCAGACAGCACGGCCACATGCAAACCACAAACACACGTCCCTTGGAGAGCGCCGCCACTCACCAACCACCACCGGTGTGCATCAACACAGGCCACGCGTGGCACAATACAGCAGTTTTATCACCACGCTGCCACCACCACTGCCCATGCAACACGTGTGGCTAGTGGTGTGAGCATAGGATTTTATCTTGGGAGCACATACAGTGAGGGAAAAAATAATTTGATCCCCTGCTGATTTTGTACGTTTGCCCACTGACAAAGAAATGATCAGTCTATAATTTTAATGGTAGGTTTATTTGAACAGTGAGAGACAGAATAACAACAAAATCCAGAAAAACGCATGTAAAAAATGTTATAAATTGATTTGCATTTTAATGAGGGAAATAAGTATTTGACCCCTCTGCAAAACATGACTTAGTACATGGTGGCAAAATCCTTGTTGGCAATCACAGAGGTCAGACGTTTCTTGTAGTTGGCCACCAGGTTTGCACACATCTCAGGAGGGATTTTGTCCCACTCCTCTTTGCAGATCTTCTCCAAGTCATTAAGGTTTCGAGGCTGACGTTTGGCAACTCGAACCTTCAGCTCCCTCCACAGATTTTCTATGGGATTAAGGTCTGGAGACTGGCTAGGCCACTCCAGGACCTTAATTTGCTTCTTCTTGAGCCACACCTTTGTTGCCTTGGCCGTGTGTTTTGGGTCATTGTCATGCTGGAATACCCATCCATGACCCATTTTCAATGCCCTGGCTGAGGGAAGGAGGTTCTCACCCAAGATTTGACGGTACATGGCCCCGTCCATCGTCCCTTTGATGCGGTGAAGTTGTCCTGTCCCCTTAGCAGAAAAACACCCCCAAAGCATAATGTTTCCACCTCCATGTTTGACGGTGGGGATGGTGTTCTTGGGGTCATAGGCAGCATTTCTCCTCCTCCAAACACGGCGAGTTGAGTTGATGCCAAAGAGCTCCATTCTGGTTTCATCTGACCACAACACTTTCACCCAGATGTCCTCTGAATCATTCAGATGTTCATTGGCAAACTTCAGACGGGCATGTATATGTGCTTTCTTGAGCAGGGGGACCTTGCGGGCACTGCAGGATTTCAGTCCTTCATGGCGTAGTGTGTTACCAATTGTTTTCTTGGTGACTATGGTCCCAGCTGCCTTGAGATCATTGACAAGATCCTCCCGTGTAGTTCTAGGCTGATTCCTCACCGTTCTCATGATCATTGCAACTCCACGAGGTGAGATCTTGCATGGAGCCCCAGGCCGAGGGAGATTGACAGTTCTTTTGTGTTTCTTCCATTTGCGAATAATCGCACCAACTGTTGACACCTTCTCACCAAGCTGCTTGGCAATGGTCTTGTAGCCCATTCCAGCCTTGTGTAGGTCTACAATCTTGTCCCTGACATCCTTGGAGAGCTCTTTGGTCTTGGCCATGGTGGAGAGTTTGGAATCTGATTGATTACTTCTGTGGACAGGCGTCTTTTATACAGGTAACAAGCTGAGATTAGGAGCACTCCCTTTAAGAGTGTGCTCCTAATCTCAGCTTGTTACCTGTATAAAAGACACCTGGGAGCCAGAAATCTTTATGATTGAGAGGGGGTCAAATACTTATTTCCCTCATTAAAATGCAAATAAATTGATAACATTTTTGACATGCGTTTTTCTGGATTTTTGTTGTTGTTATTCTGTCTCTCACTGTTCAAATAAACCTACCATTAAAATTATAGATTGATCATTTCTTTGTCAGTGGGCAGATGTACAAAATCAGCAGGGGATCAAATACTTTTTTCCCTCACTGCATACGACACATACATCAGAACTGCTGGCTGTCTCCGAGTTGTGCCACAGGGCAGCTAACACACACACACACACCGACGCACCCTGAAGGCGGTGGCCACAAACGTGTAGAGCTGGCTGAAGGTGGGCTTGTACAGCAGATACTTGTGGGGGTTTTCTCTACGACGCTCCGGAGGCTCCTGGACACACAAAGAGACACAGCTCTTACCAAACATGGCCATTTGATTTAAACAATGCAGCACACGCAAGTGTGGTACGTACGGTCAGCACTACTATATCAATGCTGTTAGCGGGCATTTATGAAGGCCTGCACATCACACAAGGTACGAGCAACATCCCTAGTGGCGATGTTACTCGTATCAGGCAGATGTTTAAGGCTTAGTCGACCTAGGGGAGGCCCAGGGCCGGTTGAGAAATTAGTTAAAGGCGTTAGTGGTCGTGAGCGGGAATCTAACTCAAGTCGCCGTGTTTTTAGCGCAGTGCACTAACCGCTGCAATACTTGCCTTGCAGCACCAACGTTTCTTACTCACACCCCTCAGCTGCTCCCTGTCATTCTTCTATCCTCTGCAAACCTAATACAGAACGGCCAGTCAAAGTCCACACAGGTGGTGGAATGAAGGTGAATTTGAAATCCAGATCCGGAAAGCCCACGTACAATTCTGCCAGTCCGCCCTACCGCAAACCAAATCAGATTTTGACTCTTACGGACGACGTAATGGTGCACTCCTGTGGTTCCCTGCCTACATTACACCTCTCTCTCTCTTCCTTATGGACGTGAACTGCAACTACCAATCCATGTCTCTAGAGTTGTGAATCCAGCTGCTGCTGGCTGCCGCCTTCAGAGCGCAGTGAACTTGGATCTCGCTCGTGCACTCGGAGACCACCCGTGGTGGTGGACATGAGGCCGCGTCGCGGTGCGTCCCAGCCACGTCGAAATCATTGTGTTACTTTCCACACACAAACTGTTCACACTCTGTGATAAGAGCCTACATTTTCATCAAACTAATTGGTACAAATGTAGTGATGTTAAATGGATCACTACGGCGTGTAGCGCCAAGTGCCGTTGAAACAGGCGCAGAGGCTAACACTCCATGCAGTACCATTCAGTGGGTCACTAGGGGCATGGTACTGAGTGCTAGCAGAAGGAAGCCTGATGAGTTCTACCGACACAGTAGGGGATTGCAGCCTCCACCAGCGCCGCAGGGAATCACCACAGAGTGGATCACTGGAAGAGTGTGGTGGGGGGCAGCTGGTGGTAGGAGCCGTGTGAGGACGAGTCACCCCGGCACCGGGTTAAGCACGTGATGACCCGGGTTGAGTAATGTGGGCCAAAGGTGAACAAGGGGGCACGGGGAGAGTAGCTGAGAACGTCTAGAGAGTTCTCGAAAGAGGCGTGGTTAAGGGCGGAGCCAGAGAGGGAACAGGTGCGGTGTAGCCTGGAACCGTCGGGAATATTCTGGACGTAGGGCCCGGCCGAGGGTGGAGCCAGGCTGCGCCGAGAGCGATAAAAGGGAAGCCCCGATCACAGATCCGGGCTGTCTGCAGGTGAAGTGGAACCCAAGTGCTACGGCAGGTGAAGTGGAACCCAAGTGCTACGTCTAGGTCTTCGTCCCCATCTTCGACATCGTGGGTCAGGCAGCACGGTGGCTGCTCTGATCCGATTATAGTTATCCCATATGCAAGAGAAATAGGTGTATTGGGGTCCTATGCATAACAAGAGTGAGAATAGGTGTATTTAGTCCCGTGTGTAACGGTGTTGCGTGAAGTGTAGAATAAACGTTGTTGCCTCCTAAATAGTGTCTCTGAATGACTCACTACACAAGTGCAGTGATGTATATTGTCACTATGGTGTCTAGCGCCAGCTACTGGAAGAAGAGTGGTACTGTGCATGTTAGAATCTCTATCTGGCACCAGAGTGTGTATGGTATAGAAGTGGCCCTAAGGGGGCATGCTTCTGGCTCTTCAGGACATCACAGTCTGGGTGAACCCGAGAGGGCAAGTGACCAGGAGAGGGTAGCGAGGGGGGCCAAGGGGTGGCGAGAGGGACACGTGACATAAGGCCCAGAACCTCCTAGTAGGATCTAGAAGGGGGCGTGGCCAAGAGCAGGCCACGCTCAGGGGCATAAAAGAAAAGTCCCGAGCGACGATCCGGGCTGTCTTCTGGAATCAACCCGCCGTGCTACGTCTATTCAGTCGTCACTCTTCGGTCGTTACGCTCGGCTTAGTGGGTCAGGCAGTGCGTCACTGACTGACCTGGTTATATAGTTACCCCGTTGTGGTCTAAGTTACTTGTGGTGGTCACCACCTACATCGTTATCCCATACGTTTATGCAGTTACCCTGTTGGGGTGTTAGAATAAACATGTTGCCTCAAGTGTGTGTCTCCATGGAACCCACTACAAAAGTACCAAATTAGTCTGGATGGGAGGGAGGGGTGTCGCACCTGGGGCCTGGCTGGAGGGGTCCTGTCTGCCGGGGCTACATGGCCTCGGGGTGTTCGCTCCAGGGCCTGCAGCATGCGGAACATGTCCAGCGTCAGTTCGCTAAACTTCACCTGCAGCCACACGGCACACGGAACGCAAGCCCTTCAGTCCTGACAAGCAGTGCAAATCTGATAAACTATGGTTACATGGCCCAGCGATAGCACGTTCACCGCTTGTTGCATGGATGTTAAAGATCCCGAGAAGTCATTCGAATAAGAGTAAGCTGATGCATGCCAATTTCATGGTTCAAATTTGCCAGATTTGTAAGATTACATCGCATGTTACTTAATTGGGAAACACATCGCAATCGTCACTAATTTCAGCGAAAACCTGGCAGGGCGGCCATCCTGAAAGAAAAAAGAGTCTTGAGACTCAGTGAGGATTTCCCGGGTGAACAAGGGTATGAATAATAATAAATAATAATGATGATCATAATGAACACCTCCCCATTGCTCAGGTGAGTATGTAAATACCAAACCGGATTGGGGAGCGATGGAAAAAGTCGACCCCATCAGACATCCAACCTCTGACCTGCTCAGCGCAGTTGCCGACCAGGATGGCGTCGGCGAGGGTGAGAGGGGTAGGCACCAGGAGGCTGTGCGGCAGGGCAAGCGCCTCGCTGGGCGCCAGCCGGCACGTCGCCACGGCGATAGGGCCTCCTTCACCCAAAAACCGCCATGGATCGGCCTAAAGTGGCGTTAGGGAAAGTGCCGTTAAGGGGACAGAGATTGCCACTGTGTCGGCTTTCATGGTCGTGTTGCATCGAGGGAGAAAGTAAGCTGCTCAAGAAGCTCCAGTCACATGGAGTGAAACATCGGACATCGTATCGAGCAAGACGCGGTACGGCCAGAAAATAGACCGGGAATAAAAACAGGGATTCATTTTCATCAATAACTTATCTGCAAGTTCATGGTTCAATTAAATACAGTGCTGATTATGTCCTTGCCCTTGTAGCTCTAAACTTAATGTTTTTATTGACTCCATTATTCATCATAGATGAATTTTATGGGTGGCGAAGTATAGTCAACCAATCCACTCCATCAACTATAAGCAGCTTATACGCCGACTGCACACAGCGCCAGTACGTACGTCTACGAACGCCTGTATCTCCTGCAGCACCATCCTCCACTCCTGCTCATCGTCACCGTGCTGTCTGCTGTACGCTCCCACCTCATTGGTCAACTCCTGCGAACACACAACACTTTATTAAATGCAGAAGAGCAGTGTATATACAACATAACCATTTGCGTCTTTGAGGGGAACATAAGTAACAAAATAAACGAGCGGACAGTACGCTTCCTTCTTATAGTGCATGGTTTTGACTAATGTTAAAAGTGAGATTCGGTACGTTAACGTTATGCACGCGGGTGCCAATTTCGACCAATCCGAGCGTTCGTAAGTGGGTTGTGCCATGCCCTCAGCCAATCAGTGACGTCCATTTATGAGCGTATAGACATAGACTGGCTTTGTTTACATTATATTTTCTGTTTTGGCAGCAGAAACAGCTATCTTGCAAACTCATGCAATTCCTATATTCGATTAACAGTAGTTTTCATGGAACGGATTAAAAACGTCAATCGGGGGACTACTGTAAGAGCATTTTTAGACATCACATTAGCCAACAAGTCAAGCCCATTTGAACCAATGCTGGTGAACTGCCAGATATTCAGAAGCAAGGACCCTCTCTGTTCGAAGTCGGTCCAGTCGGTCCTAGGTCCAAATCGATCAGCACATAAGTAGGTTTAATCCACCTAATGTCACCGCTGATGCCGGTAGCTCTCTCACCGTGACCAAGTCGCGCACCACATGGTACTTGTGAAGCAGCAGCGACACGACCACGAAGCGCGCGACGTAGCGCAGCTTCTTCACGCACAGGTCCGGACTGCGTCCCACACAGGTTCCAACACATCACAATCTCATTTCACTGCAGAAGAACATGAGTTCAAAGGTTCAGTCATCATCATTTCATCAAACCCTACTCAATAATGTTTAATATTTGTGCCCGTTTTTTTACCTAATTATATTGTGACTGACGTTGTGATGGGAGATTAAGACATTTCCATTAATATCTCTCAGAAAACAGTACTTCACCCTATGTTATACAAGCACCTCGGAAGGCGATATATAAGGCTACGATTTTGTCACCGAGGTCATGGTGGTCACACACATCGTGAATTAGAATAAAGTCGAAAGTGAAATCTTGGTAATGGCTATTGCACCACATTAGATGAGGTCCATAACATATTTTTTTGGGGTTTGATTGCATAAATATAAATGTGTTGTTAAACCCGCCACCACCCGATACAGCCAATTAGTAAGGTTTGTCACGTAAATAGAACATGCCAATTTGTTACACGTAGAGCACACCAGTGTGTTGGAGAGCAAATCCACAACATTTACAATCTGAGTACGACGTTTCGCCAGTATTTACAACTAGCTTCATCAGGAGACAGCCAGATTTGTGGAGAAATCCTCCTGTTTCGTTCCTTAAATAGATGGATAGATGTGATGACGTCACTTTTGAGCCCTTCTTGTAAAAAGGGGAAGGGATTAAAGAATGCATACAAATTACAATGGTTATCCATTGCCGGTTGGGTTTTTCATAGGGTAATCAACGTACAATATGCATGCACATTGTTCTTGTACCTCCTGGCGTTTGGTGCAATAAAATAGCAGTACCAGTTATTGTCTGCAAATAGCTAATTTATGTATGGTGACCTGAATAGGCATGCATTTAAACAATGTATTATTTGATGATTCGCTTCGAAGCAGCACTAAACCTGTAGCTATCCAAATGGTTAGGTGCTTCCAGGGTTGGAGGACAAACCGGCCAAGGAAACCATGAGTAATCAACCGGCGGAGATACAGACATACGCACATATACAGAGGTGGAGACAGACAAGATGAGACACGGGCACAGCCCCGGGCCCCCGTCAGCCCTCACCGTGTGTCTGTGTCAGCGCTGTTGTAGTAACCGCGTTGTCTGATTGCCGAGTAGAAGGAGAAGGCCTCATTCAGGTACCCGGTCTCAGACGTTCGCAGGCTGCAGGCAGAGCGGGCACCACAAAAATACACGTCGCACTGCATCACGGCACCGCTCAAGGCAGGATCAACAACTCAGCTAGGAGCTCACTGAAATACGTTTGGTTTTATCTGGTGTATGGTTTATCAGAAATTACACTCAATTTATGTACAAGTAAGAGTCATTATATAATATCCAAAATTTTCCAAGGCTCCTAAAGGTTGCAATAATAAGACAACACAAAAATAATGCTGGTGTCATGTCAAGAGGCCTCTCTCGCGACAGCCACTTGGCTGCACTCAATGCTAAGTGAAGAGTGGCATATCCCAAGCAAAGAATTTGACTGGGAACAACAAATACTTGCTACAAGAACAACTCACATTAAACCATGGCCTTCGAGAGACTGATGGGGCAATGCTAACGCAGTCAACAACAATAACAATTTCTGTGTTGTTATTATTAATGCAATATGAGTATTCATGATTCTGCTGAGTGGCATGGTGGTAATGCATTTGACTCACTATCATTAAACAGTTGCATATTCAAATGCCTGTCACGGGTCACTAAAATGAGCACCAATTTGTGGGAAGTAAATAGTGGCTGCCCTAAATTTAACCCATAGGCTTTGTGAGAAATATTATGATTCAATATTGACAATTGGGTTAAATTGCCGCATGAGCAAACCGTGTGTCGTACACCCTCCTCTACCCGACACAGCCAGTTAATAAAGTTGTTACGTGATGAACAATTGTGCCAATGTATGCCTGCTTCAGCACCACTGGCGTGTTGTTGGGGAGAATTGTTAAATGTTGTGAGATCACTCTCCAACATACTTGTGTGTTGAAGCATTAAAACACTGCCAGGTGTGTTCATCACGTGACAAGTTTATTAATTTGCTGGGTCGGGTGGATAGGGGTTAAAAAAACAAATTTATTATGAATCAGTGGCTGCCCTACAAGGTGGCTGGTCCTCATGTTTTAACAATGTGGGATGTCCACCGCTGGCTTAGGAACACCGTGGGAGATGGGCATAACCCCAGAGCTCATTTGAGTCTACGGAAACTTAACTGGCATTTTATAGAATGTAGTTAGATCCTATTTGGTCACCTCAATGCATTATGTTGCCTGCGATCTTTTCCCCAAGCATCATGGTGAAGAAGAGGAGTTTTACGATAGCTAACAAGTGAGTTTTCCAGATGCCAAACCAAAATGCCTTTGACAGATAAATACCAGAAAACGTTTCACTGTCACATTTGAGAAAAATGGTACTCAGCGCCAAGGTAAATGGTCATAAAGTGAGCAGTGCGGTGCAGCATGGTTACTAGTAGTGATAGTAGAGTTGCCCGATCTTGGAAGCAATCTCCCCAATCTGCCATCGCTTCAGGCCAAACCGTGCATCCAACAACTGTCTGCACACACACATGCGGACAGGTACACACACATGCATGCACAGTCAAAGTTCCCCCGTATAGCCTTTGCAGACAAATGGAGAAAGTGATCTTAGTGAGCACCTATGAAGCTCGGAATGGCACACGGGGGAGTGAGTAGCCAGCACATTTCACCAGGGACTCAGTCCACCTAGGAGAGCCCGAGGACCAGTTAAAATAATCATTACTGGTGTTAAACATGAGCGGGAATCTAACTCGTGTTGCCGGGTTCATAGCGCAGCGTGCTAACCATGAACCTACCGTTCCCCATACATGTGTAGAGGTGTTTAACCTGCATTGCCACCAGGTATCAAGGGGGCAGTGCAGCTTTACCTCGGGGTACATAACGGTTGGAGTGAGACGAGGTGAAGTGGATCGTAGCCACAGTTTAGGGAGAACCAATCAGCCAGTTCCACGTGGGAATGTGTGATTGGTTATACCTGGCCACGAACGAGTATAAGAAGGGTGACCCAACAGAGCTCGGGGAGTTCTCTCCCTACACGAAGACCGAAGACTGGGCTGAAGACTAGCTAGGACCCTGGACCAGCCTTCCAGCCCTTTTGAGGGCTAAGGCTCGGCATACCCAGTGGGCAGGACCCACCGGGCCAGCGGTGGGTCAGATAGCCTCCCCTAGGTCCAAGCCTGAGGACTCTAGGCTAGGATAGCGGTAGACGTGTCAGTCCCGCCAAGTCCGGAGGCTGTACCTCCTTAGGTATCAAGGAGGTTAGCGGTAGATGTGCAAGTCCTGCCAAGCTAGGAGGTTAACGGTAGACGTGCAAGTCCCGCCAAACTAGGAGGCTGTACCTCCCTAGGGTATCGGGTGAGGGGACCGAATATCCCTCTGTGTGTGTTAAGGATTGTGTAAGGAACAGTTACAATAAACAGAGTGTGCCTCCTAAGAAGTTTACTCGTCCTTACAACACAACAACTGGTGTCAGAAGTGGTTGAAAATGGAAACGAGAATTTCGGCCTACGTGCGAAGCCAGAATGAAGATAACTTTGCCTCACCTGCGGGAAACCGCCAGCTCCGCTGAGAATGCTGCCCGCGTTGACAACCGCCCAGCCACCGGTTCAGCAGCCGGTCGCTCCTCCTGCCATGGGGGACGGACTCCGGGCAGCACACAGCCGTCTCGCCCAACTTCTACACGCCGCGGCCTCCATTCTCGACGAAATCAACTCGGAGGTCGCGGGCGGGCCGAATCACCCGCCGGCAGATGTTCCCGCCATCGGCCAAGACGGACATTTAGATTTTCCCGCCGAGGAACCACGTGATTCCGCCGGAAGCGGAAGCCAGGGGCATCCTGGGAACGCTGGGGGCCAATCACGACCCGCAGCGTCATCAGCGCGCGACGCTGTAAATTCAAGATACTCCGCGGACGCCGCATCATCACTGTACCAACAGGGTACAGTAGACGCACTCGGCCAAGCAATCACCGATCTCCGACTCGAGACGGTGCAAGCCGAGGAGGAGACAACGTCCGCCCTCCAACAGCGCCTGCCCATCTTCCGGGAATTCGCGTCTCAAGGTGGCGACTAGGCGGCGTTCCAGCGTCGCTTCCTGAGCCACCAAGAAATGGTGGGTGGTTGACGCACAGGCGCTCCGAGCGCTACCCGGCCACTCTGGACGACGACGCTCTCCGCCTCGCTCCTCACCATCCCCAGGCAACACAGGGCAACTCTGCAATTGGCCCTCCGACGGATGTCCAACGTCTACAGGCCTCCGTCCGACGTCCGCAGCCGATTCTACGACAGGCGACGCCGCCCTAAGGAGTCTCCGTTGGCGTTCCGGACCACCCTACTCGCGATGGCAAGAGCGGGTTACCCCCGCATGGACGACGAGGCCATCGACGCTATCGTTCTCCAGAAGATGCTGGAGCTGGCGCGCGAGCTGCGCATCATCATCCAAGCGGTGGACGACGACAGTATGTGCTCGCTATGAGCCGCTCGGAGCATCCACGCACATCTGCTGCTCCACATGGAATCGACCATCGCCGCCTCGGCTTCGACGTCGGAGCCTGCCAGCAGGGACACTGAGTTCTCCCCCGACCGGGCCTTCATGGCTACCAGGTCAACGGGCCGGCGATCGTCCGACCACACTGGTCGCCGCGACGACCAGCAGCGGGGACGGCCTCCTCCACGCGGTGACATAACGTGTTTCAACTGTGGCCGACGAGGCCACATCTCCGACTGCCGTGCACCTCGACGATGCCCCTCCGGATCCCGAGGCCAGGACTACAGGGCGCCCACGACATCGTGGCACAGTCAGGCAAGTCGCAACGCCTCTCACGTTCGGCCCCCATTCACACCATACACACCTCAACGCACCATAGGCAAGGCTCGCGATTCGGCGTGTGATGGGGGGTGTTCCGGGGGTTCTTCATGGCCACTTGGACCTGGGCAGTGGTCTGAGTTGGCCCATAGGGTAGTCGCGGCGACGGCAGGTTCATCCGTGGTTGTCGGATCAATCGAGGGTGTGGAATTTCGTGTGTTGGTCGATACTGGTGCGTCGGCTACGATAATTTCTGCTTTAATTTATAATATACTGCCCGTACAATGCCGCCCCTTGAAACGGGTTTCTATCCCGTGTTTCGCCGCTAATGGAAGTTCGCTGGGCATTATTGGGCAAAGTCGTGCGCAAATTTCGATTGGTGACATTAAATTGGCAGGGCCTATTTTGGTCTCTTCTTCCCTCGCCGTGCCGTGTTTGTTAGGCACTATTTTCTCGTGAAAATGCCTATTAAGATCCTTGTAGATCAAGGCTGCATCGAACTTCTGTCGTTCTTGCCCACACCCTCACATCTGTGCATGGCAAATGCCTCGGTGCAGGCGTTCGTCGCGAGCACAGTCCGCATTCCGCCAGGGACACAAATGCTCGTGCCCTTGCGACTAAAAAAACCGCTAGCCCCGGATGCCTCGGCACATGGCATTTTGCTGGGGCCTTCAAACACAGCTGCTAAGGGGTTAGATTTGGTGGCTGCACAGACCCTTGTAGCAGCTGACAGGGAGCCATTCTTGCAGGTTTTGAATGTCGGATTGTCCACAACCGTCATTCCGCAAGGAACTGTGCTCGCTCACGCGACCCCGGTGCCGCTGGGGACCGGAGTCGCGGGACACGTGCGTGACACACCGCAGGTCCCACCTCCTTCTGAATCGGATGAGAAATGGTTGGACGTGCTCTGCAGACACGGGTGATCTGTCTCGTTCGCAGCGAATTAAATTGCGCGCTCTTCGGCGATAATTTTCCGATGTATTCAGTAAATCTAAATTTGATATTGGCTGCACCAAGCTACTGCGTCACCACATTGATACTGGTGACGCTGCCCCAATTCGACAAAACCCGTTTCGGCTTAGCCCGGCGGAGAAATAGCATGTTAAATCGGCTGTGGATGACATGCTGGAGGCCGATATCATTTCTCCCTCCACTAGTCCCTGGGGTGTTCCAATAGTGCTGGTCAAAAAGCACGATGGCAGTCTTCGTTTTTGCGTTGATTTTCGGCGCCTAAATAAAATCTCGGTAGCTGACGCCTACCCTCTCCCTCGTATGGACGAGTCATTGGATGCCCTGGCAGGGGCGCACTATTTCTCCACTTTGGACCTTCTGTCGGGGTTTTGGCAACTCCCCCTCGACGAAGCGTCAAAACCTAAGACTGCTTTTTGGACACCACAGGGCCTTTTCGAGTCTAATAGATTGCCCATGGGTCTCCACTCGGCCCCAGCGATGTTCCAGAGGCTCATGGAGCTGGTCCTCGCTGGGCTCCAGTGGGACTTATGTCTCATTTATCTTGACGACGTCATCGTCTTTAGCCGCACGTTCGGCGAACACATCGAACGGTTGCGTGCTGTCTTCTTGAAAATGGGGGCCACTAACTTAAAATTCAAGCCGCAGAAGTGTCACCTTCTGCGTGAGTCTGTGCGCTATCTGGGCCACATAGTTAGCCGCTCGGGAATCTCTACCGACCCTGAAAAAAACAAATGTGTTCAACAATGGCCGACCTCTACATCTGTGGGCGATGTTCGTAGTTTTATTGGTTTTGCGTCGTACTACTGCCGTTTTGTTGCTGGCTTCGCGACGATTGCCAAGCCGCTCCATGCCCTTACGTCAAAAGGGGTGGCGTTTCATTGGGGGGACGCAGAACAGGCCGCGTTCGACTCCTTGCATACCCCGATTTTTCCGTACCATTCGTGTTGGACACCGACGCTAGCAATACGGGCATTGGGGGTGCTCTGTCCCAAAAAGTTGATGGCATTGAAAGGGTCGTTACCTATGGTAGCAGAGTCTTGTCTCCTGCTGAACAAAGATACTGTGTTACCCGACGTGAGCTGTTGGCCATTGTTTTTTTTATTCAGCAATACAAGCCGTACCTGTATGGTCAGCATTTTACCGTGCGATATGATCATTCGGCATTACAGTAGGCTCTGCGGGTTGACCAACCATCCGGCCAGCTTTCTCGGTGGCTCGAAGTCCTTCAGGACTATGATTTCAACGTTACTTACTGTAAGGGTGCACAACACACAAATGCTGATGCGTTGTCTCGGCTCCCGCCGGCTCAAAAATGTGCGTGCTTTTTGGGCTCGGGCTGTTGTAAACCACCTGTGCAGGTCGCGCCTCTCAAAACGATGTCCGCCGCGCTTCCCGTTGCCTCAGCGCCGATGTCAGATCATGCGGATCCAACGGCCGCTGACGACTTGCTGGGGCTGAATTTGGCCGAATGGGGTCGGCACCAGAACGACAACATGTCGTTGTTGCGGTTGCGTCGTCACGCGAATAATGCGGCTCCGCATCAGGAGAAATTTAATTAATTTATGAAGCGTGGGTTACTGATGCATTGGGATGCTGAGTCATGTCAACACAAAATTGTCGTGCCCTCCGCCTTGCGATGTAAAGCCGTATGGGCAGCGCACGAGCGGTTATTACACCTGGGTGTCCATAAAACTATTGAGTTGTTGCGGTTGCAGTGTTTCTGGCCGGGCATGTTGCGCGATGTATCTGACATTCTGCTGGGGTGCACCCACTGCGCGCAACGTAAACCATCGGCTAGACTGGCATGTCCACCCCTGCAACCCATTTCGGTGTCTCGTATAAACGAGTTGGTGGCTCTCGATATTTTGGGCCCTTTTCATACTATGCCACGGGGTAATAAGTACCTTCTGGTTGGGGTGGAGTATTTTACGCGGTGGACTATGGCCTGGGCCCTCCCCAACCAGTCGGCAGCGGCCGTTGTGGACGCCTTTGTTCAGGGCTACGTCCTGGACAAGGGCGCACCAGAACGGTTGATGACCGATCAGGAAATACATTTTTCAGGAGTCCTGCTGAATGAGGTTTGCTGCCTGTTGGGCACAAAGAAAGTGCGCACTTCACCCTACCATCCCCAAACCTACGGTATGGAGTGCCTGCATAGAACTCTCACTGCTATGTTATGCTATCAGGTCGATGAATCCCACCTCGATTGGGAATTGCAGGTTCCGGGGGTCCTCGCCGCGTACCGCATGGTACCTCACGCGGCGACGGGATTTTCCCCGTTCTTTTTAATGTACGGCAGGGATGCCTTTCCTCCCGCCGACGTTCGGCTGGAAATCGAACAGCCACTGCAAAAATCAAAGCTCGTTGACCACTTGCGATTCAACCTCCATAAGTTGGCCGAGGCATGGGAGGCTGCCATTGAAAATTCGGCTTCCCGCCAACGAGCGAATTTGCGACTGCGTGACCCTCGGACGTCCACGCATCGGTGGGCACCGGGAGACAGGGCATGGCTTCACTGCCCCCAGGTGCCGGTGTCCATCTCGGCA